CTATGCCTATAACGTTCCTATAACTACGATCAGCACGACCTGTGACATTTCTGTGGTTAAGTTTGTAAGAAGTTCAAAATTTCATTTTTTTACTTCAACATAATCTTTTGATCGTATTTCAGAAAATTATCGATTAAATACGAATATCTATTATATTCTTACTTTAATTCTGGTGCATAAAAATAAAGTGGAAAACCAGATTCATGATGAACTAATGCATTACCAGCATAATCTGCTCGAATAAATAATTTAAGCCAATATTCAGTTAATTCCGAACGATCAGCATTTGTTGCCCACCGAGCTTTCATTGTCTAAGAAAAAAAAAAAAGAAATATAATAATTATTGATTTTGTTTTTACTCGAAACCAAATTTCATTTTCATAACCATCAGGTAATCCTGCCCAATCAATAACAGTATAATTTCGACTAATATCATTTTCCATTCGAAAAGCATACGGTCCAAAATAAGGTAAACGATAATTTCGAAATTTTCCACGATCAAAAAAAATTCCAACACCAACAACTTTATAATCACTACCAGCTGCAGCTAAGACTTCACCAATTAATTGTTCATCAGTTAAATCAAATTCAGCTTTACGTAATGGAAAATCTTCAGCTGGATTAACAATTTGATAAAAACTTGATAGAAAATGTGATAATGTTAATGCTAAACGTGCTTGAGATTCAAATTGTATATTAACATCATTTAAAACATCACCTGGCATTGTTAATTTATCTTCAGTCATGTATTCACATAAATGTGGATTATGATTAAGATGATTATATTGTTGCATTATCGATGCAACACGTGTTGGATTTTCATAAGCAAAACGTTTTGAACGACTTTTTTTAATATGATCTTCATGTTCATCATTAATATGACCAATGAAAAGTTTACTAGAAAATGAACTAATTCGATGAATTGATGATTTAAGTATAGATGATGATGATGTTAATAATGTAGTTATTATATTTACTTTTGGAACTGAATAAGAAAACAAAAAAAAATAGATTACTGAGCGATACAATAGAAATTGAAACGTACCAGAATCAACAAATAGTGGTAGAATAAAATTTTTACTTAGATTATTATAAATCGATCTATTTGATAGATCATCATTAAAATCATTTGAACGACGTTTACGACCAGCAAATAATTCAATACTTGATGGATAGAAATATTGTGGATATTGTTGATACACTAAAAATAGAATTAATTCTCAGAAAATTTCAAAAGTCAATAATAAAACTCGTCTAGCTAGGATATCTAGAACTAAACCGTACACTAGACATGTTGTATGAGGTCAAAGTCATTCAATTTCTATCTAAGTACTATTCAAATACTACTGATAACTATTGGTCTTGAGATTATTTTTCTTGATCTATTGCTTAGTACTAGTTTTATATGAAGATTATTAAATCGGCTGACTGAGTTAAAAAGAAAAAGAAAAAGAAACTAAAAACTTCCCAACAAAGAGTACTGTCGTAAAGTAAATAATTTTAGTCGGTCCGAGAGATATCTATATTAAAGATATTGTACTATATTCGAAAACGATTATTTCAAAATCCTAATTCATTCTTTACAACATATGATGAATATCAATCATTGTCTATTTATTTGATATATATTAAACCTAGATTCAATATCACAATACTGTAATAAATTAAAATTCAATTTTCTTCACTATCAAATAAAAAATATCTTATACTAACTTTAATATGATATTTAATTGTATAGTATGCAAAAGAAAATATGACTAATGATGATGCTTACATTCAATTTTAAAACAATCAAAATTATTGGCATATTCTTCTTGTGTAGCTTTTTCAATAATATAACCTTTGAAAGGTCCATCTTGATATGGTGGATAACGAAAACCAGGTCGACAAAGACATTGATAACCACCACGTCGAAATCCAAAACCAAATAATGGTTCACAACGTGTTGTTGGTTTACATTTATCTGTTCCAGCAAATAAATTGAATTGTTTTGATTTTATATTTATTTGATCAATTTCAGAACATTGATTTATATCCATCATAATAAAATCAATATCAGTTACGGCAACTGCTAAATTACGCATGGATTGAAAATGTCGATATGTTGTATGTCGAGGATAAATATCAACAATAGGTGAAACAGCACTAATTATCCATTTATTTGATCGACCACAATCAAAATATGGACGTGTCCAAAGAGTTGGACCTTTTCAAAGAAAAAAAAAGAATATGTTTTTATTTTTTATTTCATAGAAATTAACTCACCTTGTGGATCTTCTGGATGTGGTGGCCCATAAAATTCAATAGTTTCTGCTACATCATGAAGTTTATACATTCTTTCAGCCAATAATAATTGAACTATATGTACAGCTTTACCTATGAAATAAGAATAAAATTACTTTTTTTTTTTCTGTAATTTATACGATGAAAAATTTATAATACAGTGAATGCACAAATAAATACACCACAGTGAAGATAATATTCAATAAAGAAATCGATGAATATGTGCAAAAATGAACGAAAGAGACACATCTTATAGATAAAAATCAATAATTTTATTAAAGATTATTTTAAATAATAGCATTGCTAGTTTTGTGATTCTCTCGTTTAATTGACTAGAAAAAAAAATTTCTATAACACAAATCACCATTAAAAGTACAGAAATCAATCACCAATACGTGAAAGAAATATACGAATAAATAAAAAAACAAGGAATCTAATATATAGACATATATATATATATATATATAAAGAGCACTATACGTTTTTTAATTGCATCATCATCATCATCACCACTGTTGTTAGCAGTATCATTTTTTTTCTCATCGGGTATTTGCCAATGTTTTTTTTCATTTGTATTGTTGTTGTTAACAGTCAAAGAAGATGGAGATATTGTAAAATTGTCAGGACGAACTTTTACAAAGAAGAAAAAATTAACAAACAATAGGATTATCATTTCAATTGAGATTTACTTTTCATTACCTTTTCCTTGATTATCTTGTATTGGATCTGGTAACCATTTACTATACCATTCATTATCACGATTATATCGTGATGTATATTGATGATTACTACCTGCACCAATATCTTCTTGTTGAATAGTATGATTTGTCCATTCATTTTTCCAATTAAATGCATCTTAAATAGGATAATATTTCATTGAATATTTTTTTTTTGAAGAAAAAAATTTTGGTTTACCATAAAAATCATCTGCTCGCCAAGCATATGGTCCAAATAATGGAATTGTTTTATTAAAAAAATTTTTATACCAATGTGGATAATATTTATCTTTATCAAAATAAATTCCTGAACCGTTTATCATACTACCGCCAGCAGTTACATCGGCTATTGAATAAGAATAAAATATTTATTCGTCTTAGATATACATGTTTACACTTACCAGCATTATGTAAAAGTATATATGTAAGACCGGGTTCATCAAAATCAAATAAACGTTGAAATAAATAACTATATAAAAGTGCATTTCGATGAGCAATATTTCTTACATGTAATAATTGTGTTCGATTTCTCATAATAATATCTTTTTTAAGCATTTCAATAGATGGTTTTTGATAAACAGTTTCTTCAGGTAAAATAAGTTCATTGGGTTGTTTATGAAAACAATTATCACGATTAACAGAATTAATTCTATCCATAATTTCATCAATTTTATCATAAGTAATCCATTCAAATTGAGAAGAACATTTATCAAATAATAATAAACATAGAAAAAGAGATATACAAATATATACAAAGAGATCCATACATAGGAATCTAAAGAAATAAAAATAGAAATTAAAGAATGAAAATAATATTTCTCTTTCATAATTATATCTACCAATGATTCCAGAATGTTTTTTGAAGATGATGATTAATTGTAGCAATTTTCAAGAATTCTATTAATAGAGTTAATTTATCTTTTGTTAATATATGATACATTCATACTGAATCTGCATTCTAAAACAATGAATGCTTATCTTCACTGTCTTATCCACCACTTGATATTGAAATGAATACTGACATATATCATAAAATCTGGAAAGAAAAATAAATTATGGAAGTTGATTAATAGAACGTGCTTATTTTGTTTAAGCCGCCTAAACATGACATAGTAGAGCTTTACATTGAACTCTGAAATCTGACTCCACCGGAGTAATCATGTAGAATTTTTTGTTGGAGTTACATCAGTGAAGAAAGTGAGTGTTTTTACATATGCTAAGTAATAAAAAAACCAATACATTACTTTATAAATTCATAAATTTCAAGACAAAAATTATCAACGAGAAGTGTATACGCTAATGAAAAATATTTCGAAATGTCTCCGAGTCAAAAATTTCGTCGCTGCAGAGAGCTCAAATGAATTAAGTTAGGTGATGAGTAGAAAAAAAAAGTACTAAATTTTCAATCTGGATCGAAAAACGATGCACTCAATGACATGTACTATAATGTAAATATGATATACTATACATTTTTCAAAATCTTATTGCATAACAATAATACTCAGAGTATCTGATTTCCCGCAAAAAAAATCTCAGTATCGTTACTCTCCAATTGTATCATTCTACTTTCTCTTACTTGCATTGAAGATAAAAGAACATATAGAAAAGAAAGATCATTAAACGGTTATAAGGTCAAATGTCTACGACCGTAAACTAGTAGTGGTCACTTTTGCAATTCTTTTAAAATGTTGAACTATCTCTCAAGTGTCACCAGACTAATCAATCAGTAATCATAAGATTTATGAAAAATGCAAGAGAAAATATTTTAGATTAATAATTAACAACTAAAACCTCATTGTTTTAATTTTTTTTATCTTTACTTTTATTCTTTTTTTTTTGTTTAATATGCGATTGTAGCGTTAGTATTTCGATTGGTCAAATTATTTCACCAATCCTAAAACTTATTAAGTCTATTCTTTGTATTCAATGATCTTCATCAAATTGTGATCGACTGGCGAAATTAGGAAGAAAAATTTTGTCTCCATTGAAAATCTAGTCACAATGTCAGCTTGGCGCAAACGATTTTCGTAAGAAATTAAACTTATTTCGGTCGAATTCAATTTATTTTTTTTCTAGACGAAAATCACACCGGCTTACTGAAAATGACGAAATTCTCTTGAATAATACTGCCAAATATCGTCGAAAATTACATGCAGCTATATCTCAAATAAATCGTACAAAAAAATCTGTACAACGAAATTTTGATAGTCCTGCATCTGAAGTTCATGGTAAAAGAATACATGTCTCTTTTTATTTCTTGTTACTATGAAATTTATTTAGTTGCTCGACTAATCAATGATATTGGTCAATTATCTGATTGTAAATCATTACAAGTAAATTTCTAATAGAAAATCTTCGAAATAAATCTTTTTATTCTTTCTTTTTTTAAAGGAAATTACTGGTTTAATTGATTCTTTAGCTATGCGACATCAATTATCATCACGAATATATAATGGTAAGAAGATTTTCACTGGAAATGCTTATTTCTTTTTGAATAATATTTACATAGAATATGCTATGAATTCACTTCAACAATCATTACGAAAACTTAATGATAATTTATTAAATGATTTTGATAAAACAAAATCAATATTCGAAGAAGCTTTAACCAATCATTGTTCAGATCATACAAAGAATCAATTATTCACAAAAGGTTTGAAAACCAAAATAAAATCATTCTAAAAACAATTTATATATACTTTTAGTACAAAATGAATGGTTTAAACATCAAAACTTAGCTAATAAAGAACTTAAACAAGGTTTATCATCTTATTGTGATATTGGTTTATATAATCTTAAAGTACAAATGGCTATTCTGGAAAAACTACAAGTAATCATCTATAAAGACTGTTACCCCATTTGATGACTTGCCTTAAGTTAGGATACCATATATGTGGTTTTATAGAGCAACCTGCAGTGCATGAAATGCCATATAAAAAATCAAATTTTTGATGTTTTGAAGAGAACTATATATAGTACTCACATGCATTGTGATCTGTAAGATAAATTTATGCAAATTTTGTTTTTAAACTCGATTCGATAGAGTTATAGGTGCTCTTAAAATTTCCATAATCAATAGTTTCCAGCGTGTTTACTTCTGTGTCATAGATAAGATCTTTCGAAACAGCAAGGATTCATTGTGAAATTGCAAGATTGTCCCCTAGAATAGTCTATTTTCTTATATGCAGAAAACTCTATATGGATGATATTTTAACAATACTTAACGTTTCTATTAGAATTTTCATCTACTAATGATTAGCACAGCCTCACTAACAAATTGAAATGACTAACTCTTTCAAAAACGGAAAAAGTTTTTATTCAGTGTATGGATTCCTAAACGAGAAAACAGGGATATGGGAAATTTTATCTTTCAAATGAACATAAGATATAGATTCTTCCCAAGTCTCATGCATAAATTAAACCTATATGCTCGGAATAAAAATTTGAAAGAAATAAGAGAAACAACAGACCATCTACCTACAATCGTATCCTCATATTCTCTCTAGAGATATGGGTTAATTAGGTATATGGTGTTGATTATTTGTACATAAAAACTTCTAATAGGACCGTCGAGTATTGTTAAAACATCATCAATATATCGGTCCCTTCATATAAGAAAATAGGGTATTATAATGGTCAATCTTGCAAGTTACAATGACTCCCTGCTGTTTCGAAACACTTTATATATGGCACAAAGTTAATCATACTAGAAATTGAATAGTTATAAAATAGCCTAGTCCTAAGAAAAGAAACCATTTTTAAATATGAAGAAAGTAATGATAAAAACTATTGATTATAGAAATCTAAAGAGCACCTATAGCTATATTGAATTGAGTTTAAAAATAAAATTCCCATACGTTTCTGTACGGACCGGAATTTATGTGAGTATGATATATATTTCTCTTCAGAACATAAAAAACTTGATTTCTTAAATAGTATTCGGTGCGTTAGAAATTGCCCTATCAAACCATGTACATAATATCCTAACTCAAGATAGGTCATCAAATCCAGTAAGATCGTTTTTGTATAATTTTTTTTGTTCTCTGACTATCCTAGAATTTTGTTGATCAATTACCTCATGATGATAATGATACAAATAATGGTTTACCAAATTTTGCTGGTAATAGTATAGAAACTCGACGTGAAATAGATACAATGTTACGTGTTATGTTGGATGCAGCACCTAGTGATTCAGCTTCGTTACCTGGTATAAAACGACCGAAATTTTTAGACAATCATTTAACGCTTTCAAGTAAAACTTTAGTCTTTGAATTTTATATTTTTATAGCTTTTGCAACATTTTAAGATTCACTTTATTCGCCTGAAATATCTGAAGCAGCAGCTTGTTCGAATTTACCAACAATAGGACAAAGAAATACACCGGTTATTCCTCAATATCCTTCTATGATTGCTTCAGCAATAGAAACAAATAGACAAATACCACAATATGACTCGGCAATGAGCACACCTATGGTATCACACAATGGTCGTTTTCAAAGTAATATTAATAAATCAATGAAATTATGTCTTAAAATTATTAAGACATTAGACAGCATAGATCTGATACTTTTATAAAATAATCATAGAGGAATACATTCATAGAAATTAATCATACTTATGCATATGAGAAGTCTTTGCGTGTTTCATCTTGTATCTTCCATTACAGAATGTTTAGATACATGACGAATCAATTCAACTATCTTTAATGAAAATATTTCTCCTTTTCAATTAAATTTCACCTCAGAAATATTCCTATCAATATGACCAGGGATGACACGCATCTCTCAGGAGGGAATGCTTTCAACTAGTTAAACACTTTTTCGTCAGAGAAATAGGAAAATTGTTTTTGTCTTATGAAATGGAAGTGTTTCATTATTCGTACTATGTGCTCGCTTCTACGCTTAAAGCAGCTATCAGTATCAAAAATTCAGACATTTCTGCTAACTAGTGAGCAACATACTGTGGATATTAGGTGAAAAATTGAACGTAGTCATTTTAATGACTTAAATAAGACAAACATACACTCTAAGATATGGGTTATTTAATAAGATGAAAGTCCTTATTTCTCTAGTTAACATTAGTCGAAAAACACCTACAAAATGCTTCTCCACTCATAACACCTACAGAACCTAAGCATGAGCGTTCCAGAACTGAGCTAAAAGTTTGTTTTTTTTTTTTAAGATAAAAATCATTTTTCTCGACATGAAAACACTATTATTTAAGACTAACTTCATATTTGAGAGGTCTGTGAAAAATTATGTTTGTCTCGTTTTACTTTTATGCTTTTCAAACTATTATGACTTTCATAGTTTTCACCCTTTGTTCCCTCTAGGACGTGGGATGTGGATATAAGTAGGTGCGAGTGAAGAGAACACAGATTACTACCGTCATCCATACTAGACATGTAAGGAACCAAGTTTTTATTGGTCCCGATTCCACACAGCTCTGCCTATGACACCTTTTAATACATCTATGCCAATAACAAAAAGAACACAATTAAAATTTCTTATTTTCTATTTGGATGAAGTTTCTAATTAACTTATTTTAGCTACACTTGCTGATGATTCTTTGCCTTCATATACTGATTTATTTGTTGTACCGAGTAATTGTAAAGAAGACTTTATACAACGACGAAATACATATATAAAAAAATAATAAATAGAATTTTTTTCCTTCTTTTTGTTTATATACAAAATTCAATTTAGATTGTGCTTGTTCTTTTTTTTTGTTGTTTTTTTCTGTTTAATGTGCAAAGACAAAGTCTTCATTTATATATATGTATATGCAAATCTTATTAATTAGTTGTTACTGTTTAATTAGTCAATTTATTTGTGTCAGATCAGATGTAAATATAAAACTCGATCTAAATTTGTATTGATTTGCTTATATTTCAAATAAATGATAAAATTTATGTTTTTATTTGTTTTCTTTTGCGCGCGTTTGAAAGAATAAAAATGAATAGTACAAATCGTTTATTAATACCATCAATATCTTATACATATTCAATGATGATTGGTTTTATATGTATTGGTATATGTTTTATTTGTTCATTATGTATGATTATAAGTCGAATAATTTATGAACATGAAAAACGTGAAAGAAAAATAACAAATCTTCATCGTTTTATAATTAATTTACCTGAAATTGATTTTAATGAATTACAAGAAAATATTTTCAAAGATAAAGATTTACCATTAAAATATGGACAAATGATGACTATGCTTGGTAAAAGTATTAAAGATATGGATGAATTTAAAAAACAATTACAAACATTACCAATAACAATAGCAGAAAAATTAGGAAATTTTACTAAAACAGATAAAATTGAACATTTACAACGTGCACTTGTTGAAAATCAATTTCATTTTTAAATTTATTTATCAATTTAATAATAATAAATAATTAAAAAAATGAAATTTCTTTCCTTATTTTTAAGATAAATTAAAACAGAAACATCAAATAATGTCAAATAGTAAAACTTCTGTTGGACGTTCTTTAATTAAAAAACGTTTTCCTAATCAACATCGTGCTACATCTGGTGATGAATGGGTAGAATTGAAAAACAAATCGATAATAAATATATTCTATTAATTTTAATTTTCAATAGGTACATCAAAAACCTGATTTCACTGCTAGTACAGATTGGAATCGACTTAATCTACGATCAATAACTGATCAAAATTCATTGGATGAATTTTTAACTACAGCTCAATTAGCTGGCACAGATTTTGCAGCAGGTTAATATTCGATTTTTTTCTTATTCATATATGTATACGTTTTACTTTTTTTTTTAGAACGTTTAAATGTAACATTTGTACCAGCTGTAGCTAAAGTTGGAATTTTATCTAATGATGATAAAGAACGTATTCGACAAGTACAACATTTACATCGAGATCGATTACGTATTCCACGAAGGCAAGAAAAAGCTTTTTATTTTCGAAAATCTATATGAACTTTTTTAATGATTTTGTGTAGACCTGCATGGACATCGGATATGAGTGCGGAACAGATTGATCAACAAGAACGTGCTAGTTTTCTTGAATGGAGACGAAAATTAGCTGTGTAAGTTTTTATTAATTAAAGTTTTCTTTTTATCGATTAATTTCTACTTATAAAAAAGAAACTTTACAAAGCGACAGATCTTACTGAGAATAGTTAATTGAAAAATTTTCAAATCGTTTGATTTGCTTCTACTTTGAAATAAGAATAAAGAATAGAGCGAAAGTTTTGCGACAAAATATTTATTTATTTTTGGTTCGCTTGAAAGTGTTTCCGAAGAGCCCATAATTTTGAATGTGAGCTTAGAAATTTTATCTCAGTTTTTGTTCGAGAATAGTGAAGAGATATTTTAACGGTCTAAAAAATTAGATTGAATAATGAAGCAGTACGCTTTCGCTAGTCCCTATAAATTTCTTTTTGAAAATGCCAATATATATTCGAGACACTTCTGTATAAAGTTTTATATTAAATTAAACTGTGGCTTTTACCTAAGTGAAGCTATAAACACTTAGTCAAGAGTTTCTTTCTATGCAAAGTGCTTTTTGAATCAAAAAGTTAATTTTTCAAAACTAAGAATTTAGGAGAAACACAAATTAAAGTAATCGGAAGAAAAACTTTGATAGTACATTTTGTAGGATAGATTTTTCTCCACAAGCTGATATATTAACAAAGGTGTTAACATATACTTGTGCAGAAAATTTTTCCGTTCAAACTCATTCTTTTCGACCTTTCAAAAGATCTCGTCTCATTAGTCTCAAGAAACGTTCTAAGCCTACATTCGTAGAGCATGAAATTCTGACTACAATCCATAGCTTTAGACTCTCCGGATAATCTTTCAAGGTAGGCAAAAATAAGTCTCAAAACTTTCGGTCCATCCGTTATCAGTGATGTAAAAGATACGTTTCTCTTATAGTTACATCTTACGGTAAGAATAAGACAAGAATCAAACACTATCGCAATAAACTAACTTTCTCTATGTAAAGTTTCGAGCCAAAATTCGAAAACTACATTTTCCTGAGGTGAAAGGAGACGATATTGAGTTTAAAAATGCAATATCTCGTCACCAATAACCTAAGAATCTGAAGTTGTTTCAGGGTATTTACAGCTCATTCAAGTCTATGTGCTGTACATAGTTCAGACTCATAAACTATGAATGAAAATTCTATAAGAACTTTTTCCTTTGAACTCTGATGGATATTGTTGTGTCATTCAATAAATTTTCTTTAAATATTTTAGACTACAAGAAATCGATGATTTAACATTGACACCATTTGAAAAAAATCTTGAATTTTGGCGACAATTATGGAGAGTTATAGAAAAAAGGTTAACTTTCATATACATATTTTCAACATTAAATTTTACATTAAAATATTTTTCTTAGTGATGTTATTGTTCAAATAGTTGATGCACGAAATCCATTACTTTTTCGTTGTGAAGATCTTGAAGATTATGTTCGAGAATTATCACCCGATCATAAAAAAGTAAATGTTATTCTTGTCAATAAAGCTGATTTATTAACAGATGAACAAAGGTAATTGAAATAAATATTAAAACTATATCTTAATTCAATTCATGTTTTCATATTTATTAAGACAAACATGGGCAACTTATTTTGATGAACATGATATCCATGTCATATTCTATTCAGCATTACAATCAGCTCCATCTTCCAAAAAAACGAAAGAAAAACTTTCATCAGAAACAAATGATAATGAATCTATAGATGATACAGAGAAAATTCTTGAAGATATTAAACGAAATCAATCAAGTTATAATGATGATAATTTTGAAATTTCAAATCCAACAAATCAACTTAATCGATTTGATGGTCTTCAATTAGACGATGATAATGATGATAAACAACAATCAGAAATAAATATCAATAATAAAAAAGATAATCCTTCGAATAATGATAATGAAAATGATGATAAAGATGAAGAAGACGAAGAAGAAGATGATGATGATGATGAAGATTTATCTGAAGAAGAAAATGAACATGAAGATCTTGTTGAACAAATACGTGAAGATATTTTTGCTTATGAACAATCGAAAGAAACAAAAAAAAAGAATTTATCAATTATTGTTAATCGAGAAGAATTAATATATTTACTTAAATGTTTATATACCAATAAAACAACTACCCGAGAAAATATTCTTACTATTGGAATGGTAGTCAAATAAAATTAATTTTTATTATGGTACAAAAAAAATTTTTTTTAATTTATAGGTTGGTTATCCAAATGTTGGTAAAAGTTCAACAATTAACTCTTTATTGCAATATAAAAAAGTATCTGTATCATCAACACCAGGCAAAACTAAGCATTTTCAAGTAATCTTTCGAAAGCAAAGAACGGAAGCGCAATAGAATATATTTCGGATCCTTTTGATTGTCAAGATCTAATCTATTGAAGTCATACATTGAATGAAAGATCATGAAATCCTAATCATTTTGATTTGATCATAGCTATGAACACGGTGTATCTTCATGCCATGCTAAATAGGCAGTTATTCTAATAATGCTTTGTTCAAGCCACGTTTTTGTAACAGAACCAATGATTTGAAATAACGTTTTGAGTTTACGAAACCATATTCAAAGCTTTCATTAGTTAAGTTTTCCGTACAAAAATAGCATTTTTAGAGTTTAAAATTAGCTTTCCACTGTTACAATGGCTTTATAAATAAAATCATCTTTTCACATGCTCCTGAAAGAGGGATCCAAGTGTGAAATTTTAATCAAAAAAAGAGTCATAGAAAAAGTTTGAACTTTGTTTGAAGTGAAATAGATGTTCGCACATTTTTTTACAACGAACAAAATAGCTTATTTTTATAGCGTTTGGAAAGTTCTATTGATTACGAAGTGAACTAAGTATGCAGAAAGTCTGAATTAACTCAATAAATAAACGATTAATGGAATACACATGAATGTTACGAACTTTAAATTTAAGCAATAGAAGAATTACATATAGTCTAGTATATGCAAAGCATTACTCTAAAACAATGGCTTCTATTATGAAAATGTAGCTTGAAAGAAGATCTATCAGCATAACTGCTTATTTCATATGTTGCAAAGATAGACCCAATTCTTAGCTATGATTAAAGTAAAATAAATAGGAACTCATGATCTATCATTCACTATACGAGTCAATTATATTGAACCTTGAAAATAAAAAGTGATCAAAATACATTCTTATGCGCTTCTGTCTTTTATTTATTTATTTTCTCATTTAATGTTTTTTTTTTCAGACTATTTTTCTTGAAAAAAATCTTCTTTTATGTGATTGTCCTGGTCTTGTTTTTCCATCATTTGTTTCAACGAAAGATGAATTGATTATCAATGGAATTTTATCTATTGATCAAATGCGAGATTATATTGGCCCTGTCAACCTGATATCCTTTTCTTTTTAATATTTGTCGATTTTCTTTTTCTATTTAGCTTATTTTCATATCAATTTATCCTTAACTCTTCTATATACGTTTGTCATCAGGTCCCACGATCTGTTCTTTCACATATCTATAATATTATGTTACCATTACCAAAAGAAGGCGAAGATGAAAATCGACCACCAACAGCTGTAGAATTATGTGCTACTTATGCATGTAAGAATATGATTTCGATTATATTCATAATTAAGTCAAAATTAAAATAGAAATTAATTGACTAGAAGTATAGAAATTTATTTTAACATCATATCCAAAATATTTATCCTTCTTTTACGATAATAAAACTTGACTAGAACTTAACACTTCATTAAATTGATTTCACTTCAACTATAAACTAATGAAATTGCTTTCATACGATGGGTTTTATTCAATTATTAAACCTATCCGGTACTTCACATCTTATTCTAATCAACAATCTCAATTCGTCTAACATGCAAACAATTAAATAGATTTTCCATTAGAATAAAAATGATAACATAAGTTATCTTGAAAAGAACAAAAAAAAAAAGTATCAATCAATAAGAAACTCACCAAAATATTGATGATCTATTATTGTAATTATATAGCAAACAGAAATAGAATTCATTTTCTCTTTTTTTTTTTTTTACATTATAAAAATCAATCATAATTTCCTAAATAAAAAAAAAAAGAATCATTCTTCAAATTATATCAGAGTTGTCGGTGTTAGTACATAATATTTCATTCTATTCTTATCTTGATCAATGAGTACTAAATCATTGAAATGAAATGACAAGATAATTCATTATCATTGCTAAAGCTAATTGAATGATAACAATAAGACAATATACAATTTAGATAAGCATATAAAATTGTCATCAAATAATTTTCTTTAGATCGACGAGGTTTTATGACACATAAAGGTATACCAGATGGAAGTCGTGCTGCTCGTCTTATTCTAAAAGATTATGTTAATGGAAAACTTTTATATTGTTGTCCACCATCAGGTCATAATTCAGAAGAATTTCAACAGTATTCTAATCGTTATCATTTCAATAACGATGATGATAATGATACTAATTTTGAAACAAATTCCGAAGAAACTTCCTCAAATGTAACAACATCAAAAGTATATTTTATTTTATTTACAAAAAAAGAAAAAAAAAAAACAAGAAAACATGTGTTCTTTTTTATTTTTATTATTATTTTCAGCAATCACGTTTTCAACCATCGGATGTCGATCGACAATTTTTTCATCCAGTAAATTTCATAACTGTTTTGTTCGGATTTTTTTTATTATGTTTTTTTCTTTAGACTGATGTACGTTTTGGTTCAAAAGGTACACATGGTCGAATAAATTATACAAGAAAAAATGGTCCGATATTAGCTGGTGAAACTATGAATGATTCAACGAATCAATGTCCAGATGGAAAACCTTGGAAAAAACATCATAATCGTAATAAGAAAGAAAAATTACGACGTTTATATCGACATCTTGATGCTTAAATAATAAATAGTGACGAAGAAACAAAAGAAAAAGAGGGAAAAAAAACAGGTTCGCAAATATATTAAGATTTTGCATATGAGTAAAAAACAAAGAAAACACTTTAACTGCTTGCTTTATGTTTTGCCGGTTGATACTTGTAATGAACATACATTGATCACCGGTCATTCACACATTGTTATTAAACTATGAATTTTGTTTTTCGTTTTGGTTAATTTTTATAGTTCTGTTACTCTCATAGGTAGTAAATGCGATTTAGATACTGTTGAATTTTCAATATCATGGGGTTTTGTATGTGAACATGTCCGTTGACAAGTATGTGCTATTGATGATGGATTATCTTGAAAAGAATCATATATATGATTATCAGTCGTAGATGTTGTTGCGGCTGTTATTGTATTATTTAATGAGAGTTTTTTAGGAATAGGTGGCGGTGGTCGTTTAGGTGGTGGTAAAGGTGGTTTAGAAGGACTTGATGTCCTTTCGGGTTGTATACATTGATGAATAAAAGGAATAATCGATGTTGTTGATGAACTTTTCGTTGTTTCATGATGATCTTTTTTATTTGTTGTTTTGGCACGTTGTGCTTGTGCTGATTTTGATGTAAGTTCTTTTGTTGATTTTGAACGTTGAAGACTTGAGTCAATAACTTTTATTGGTGATGAACTCGGTGGTGATATTGAATATGTACGTAAAAGTTTTTGTTCAATTTTATTTGAACGACGTAAACTATCATGAAATGATGATGAACGTATAAAATGTTTTTTTGATGTTTTAAGACGATCTATGAAAGAAAGATAAGATTGAAATATGATAATAGAAAAATAAAAGATTTAATTTTACCTAATGAATGAAAAATTTTTTCCATTGGTGTGTTTTCATGATTATTCAATGATTTTTGTACATCTGAATTTTTCTGATTCATTGGTAATAAAGTTGTTGACATTGAATCAATCATAATTGATGTTGAATTTGATTGTATAAAATTAAAATAATGTTTATTTGGTAAAATTTTCAAAAGATCTACTGATCCATTATCAAAGATTTGTTTCATTCGTTGATAATTTTTATATAATTGTATTCCATGTTGTATTATTCGTATGCCATTTATCCATCGTTGACATTCATCATATGTATTTGCACATAAATAATGTATATATTTATTAGATTTCTTCTGTATATGAGCATATTTAAGTGCGAAACCATATTGTGTTGGTGAACGTAATGATTCAATCCAATTTTTTGCATGATATAATTGCATATTTGAATCAAATTTTAACAAACAAATAAGATTACGTTTTGATGATAATGTTTTTGGCATTCGATATATACCTGATTGACGTAGAATACATGCATATTTTTTCCAAATTTTTCGATTTTTATCTTTAATATGAAGAATACTTGTTATATTATCTGGTAGATATATTGTATTTGATGATATATAATTCGTTAATACATCATCAGAAAGTTTTTCTTGTATAGAAAAAAATTTTTTCGCTTCATTAAATATTGAATATTTAATTTCATGTTGTTGAAAACATATTCGATTATTTGTATCACGCGACCAATAAATAATAGCATCATTAATTAAATTTTGATGATCTTCAAATATACGATATATATGTAAATCAGGTAAATCTTCAACAATTGAATAATTATATGTTGGTTTTAAATGGTATTTATGTAAAAGTAAAATAATTATATCAAATATTGACATTGTTTCATCAATAAGAATATTTTTTGTTGATTTATCTTCACTATAAATTTTAATAAACATTTTTTTAATATTTGCTTCATGCATTTTTTCTAATGCTAAACGAATTTTATTGTCACCAGAAAAATTTTTTAATGTATCACATGAAACAACCTTTACAAGAAAGAAAAAAGAAGATTTAATTAGAGAAAGAAATAATCAAATAAATAAAAAGAAAATTTAATATTCTACTTACACTTGAAGCATTCGATAGTTGACTATTTGTTCGTAATTGTGAAATTTGTTTAAATGGTAAACTTATTGAATCAGTCGATTGTGATAGTCCACTATCAGAAAAATGTTCATCACCTTCAATTTCATGATGTTTATCATCATTTTCATCTTGTCGTTGATGATGATGAGTTGTTGCTGAATCACTAGTTGCTGATGAAGATGAACTATTTCCTGAATCACCTAATTCAATTTCGACATTATTCAATGTACTAGTTAATGTAGCTAATGCTTGATCAAGTTCATCAAATTGTGCAACAATAGTTGGTGAAAGTGGTTTTTTATTACGATGAATAGATTCATGTGGAAACATTTTTGTTTGATCTAATCGTTGTTCAAGTGTATGAAGTTGTTCAAGTAGCATGTCAAGATCATCTTCTAAAACGAAAGAGAAACAAACAAGCAAATATAGCTCTAAATTGATTTTTTTTATTTCGATATGGTCTCGTCAATTATTGATTGATTTCTTTTAATTTCTCACTATACTTCAATTCAATCTGTCTGAGTAGCTTTTTCTTCTTCATCGTCTTCTTTTTTTGTTTCATCGACATTTCTAAGTGATACCTGAGAATAAAACTCTTTTGTTCGTGTTCAAATACTTGCCTTTCCGATCAATCAAATAGTGACCTATATTTGTTTGTATGCGTATATAAAGTCCGTACAACGTTTACTGATGACGGCTATTGTCGATGAAAGTAAATTCTTTTTTCTTTTTTCTTTTTTTTTTTGAATCACACTCAGACTAAAATTAGAGTCATTATGGACAACTTTAAAAAAAAACAAATATCAAGAAGCTCGATTATTCATAAATTTCTTTTCTGGAAATTGACCTTCACCATCCGACATCACATAGATGTCTTAGATCTAGTTCGACAACAATAAATGTCCTTTTATATTTCCACTCTTCATTAATCTATTCTTTATAGAATGTTTTCTATTATCTATGCTTGCATAGTGCCAATGTACTTTTTCTTTCTTTCTCTTTGTCTTAAATGAATTATTGTGCAACTATCAATCAATATTTCGCTTTGCTTTTCCAGTTATCAATAAGTAGCAAAATAGTAGTAAACATTTAATTTTTTTTTTACCTTGTTTAATATTTATAATTGTCGGTGATGTTGATGTTTTATTTCGAGCTTGTCGTTCTAATGTAGATAATTCTTCATATGCTTCTCGAATTTCCTATTATACAAATAATTATATAAAGAAGAGAAAAGCAAAAAAAAAAGAATTCATTTATACATGTAATAATAAACGTTCATCTTGCTTAAAGTATAGATGCAGATGTGAAACAAAGTAACTTCCGTTTACAGATTTATCCCTACGGTTACATTATGTTCAGAAAAAGAGTAATCACAAAAAACATGGTAGATCATTATGTTGATAAACCAATAGAGAAAAAGGAACACCGGCTGTTAGGTTAGTAGGGCCAAATGAAAAATGGACTCATAAATCTGTTACATGTACATATGCCCTATTAACACACATCCGGTATAATCAAGCCCAAATGTGACAATATGACGCCGCTATATACACATATAGATTGACATATGCATAAAAGATACCTAGTCATTTCGACAGAGAATAACTGTCTTCCTTATAAAGGACATATACTAATCAGTGAAAGTGCAAGCTGACTGAGATCATAAAACAAATGTGACTATGCTTGAATGAAGAGCTAATTTGACGAGTGGTCAACAGGAAATATGCTTCGTATAAAAAAAAATGAAAAAAAAAAAATCTTACTTCTTTAAAACTATTCAAATCACCAAGACAATTTTCAACAGATAAAGTTGTTGAAGAATGATTTTCTTGTTCATTATTATTATCAATATTATTATTACAAATAACAAATTCATCATCAAGATGTTCATCATCACCTGTTTCTGATTCTTCACTTATACTTGACATTGAACATCGACGTAGATACATACGATGATACATTTTTTTAAATTTTTTTTAATTCAAGACAAAAGAAAATTTTATATCTAAAATAGAAATCGAATATCTAAAATGAGTAAAAGAAAAGTACTATTACTCCTTTTTTGCTTGTCTCTCTAATACATTTGCACATGTAAGACGATTGAACAACATAAGTCAATGTATGATGCAATATTATGTGTGAAAATTCATAAAGAGCTATATAGTAGGTACTACTTCAAGCATGACATTATAGAAGAAAAAAAAAGAAAAGAAAAATGACGGATGAAGAACACTACCAAGATTATTTCGGTTAAATTATGATCGTCTTTTCTTTGCTGTTCTCTTTTATATGTTCATGTGTTCAATTCAGTGTAATAGTATTCTTTATGGATGTGGTCTATTCATCATTATCCTTCCCTTTGTTTTTTTTTTTCGAGATGAAAAGACTCGTTAGTTAGGGTGTTTATCGAAATAAGACAATCTAGACAGCAGTTACGATAAGAATATACAATAAGGTTAATGGACTCTCCAAAAAAAGAATGGATGAACAAATAGCCTTGATGACGACATCAAAGAGTTCTCATTCGCCAAGTCAACGTACCTCAATGTTAAAAAGTGTTGCTTGCACTTTGAAATGGCTGTTTTTTGAAGAATGCATCGTAAATGAATGTATGTTTGAGGTAATGAATTATACTTTCTTTCTTCTGTCCCTCTCTCTCTCTCTTTTTCATTCTCACTATTACTTCTTTCTATAAGCTATTGTATTCGAATGAGAATTGTCCGACTGGCTTTATTTTCTCTCTCGTTCTCTTTGTCTATTGTCTGGCTATCTTTCTCCCTCATCGGCTGCTTCATCATCAACAGCCTGGTGCATTGCTCGTACATATATTATATAGGTTACGTGGTAGTAATAGTGATGAGGGATGCTAAGGGTGTGGACGGAGAAGAAGGAGAGAGAGAAAGAAATCGAAAGTGTACGACATTATTCAAATATATGTATTTGTTCTTTTCCTTATCATCACTTTGTTCTTGTTCTCTTTCGCGTTTTTTTTGTCATAAAAATGCTTGTAAATGACCTAGACAAATGCATAGGTATTGTGTCTTTCATGTACATATCACATCCTCTTCACCTTGAAGTTCGATCATCATTTACGAGCATAAAATAAAATATGACGAATCACTGAACATAGACAAAGCAGCCTAAAATGATGCGTATTGCATAGAAAAAAAAAAGAAGAAGAAGACGAAAGAATGTTTATTGAACAATCGAACAGATTAGAATCACAACGTATGCATAGTAATTTTTTATCCATATATGTGTCTCAAGACATGCTGTTCTGCATTATTCGATCATTATATATTTTATATAAAAACACACGTAGATATACATTGAATTAATTCTCATTAAATCAAAATAAGATGAAGTGTTCATAGCACGTATTCAGGTATGTATATCTTATATCCCATGGATATGAAAACAATAAATATATTAATTCCTAGACAATTATCGATTTATTTGCATTTAATATAGTATATTAAACCAATACAAAAAACAGATAGAGTTAAAATAACAAAAGTTTGTTTATAAAATTCATATGAATGATGTTTATGTTCACGTAATGGTTGTTGTAATTGTGGATATTGTAATTGAATGTGTTCAATTAATTCTTCAACATTATTTTGTATTTGTTGTATATCATTTTCAATTTGATCGATTTCAGAATTATATAAAATATAATCAATATCTGATGTTGAATCATCATTGGGTATATTTGTATTATTCTGATTTAATAATAAATTAAGACTTGATGATATAAGATTTGTTTCATTTTCAATACGTGTTATTATATGATTAGTTTCATTTAGTGATAATATAGGATCATATTGTTCAATAGAATTTTTATTTTGTTGAATATCATCAAGAGCATATTGTAATTTATTCAGATCATCTTGATTTTGTATACCAATATCATTAAGATTAACTAATGTGAGTTGATCAATCGTTTGAAAACGATCAATTATGATTGGTTTTAAATATTCAAGATCAAGAATTTCAAGAAGAATTGATACTTCATTTTTATCCATATCTATATTGATGAAATATATCAAACATCGATGACTTTTAGATTTTATTTTCTCTAGGAACTATTTATTTTATCCAAACAAAACAACAACAAAAAAAAAAAAATTAGGAAACATTTTTGTTTTTTGGTGTTTTGCTTTTTTTCTTATCGTAATTAAGTTCTGGTTGTTCAATAATAGTTACATTTGGATCACGTTCATAAATAAGTGTTGCACAATAATCTCCTAATTTACGTAAACGATCAAGTTTTAAACCATTGTTTTCAATAAACATTGTCATTTGAGATTGCTGATCATTTTCATTTAAATATTTTAAAACATCCGATGTTGATAAAGATGGAAGAAGTGATCGAGATATTGGCATCGAAGCAAATATAGTTGTATCATACTAAAAGAGAAAATTTAATTGATAATTTTTTTTTTCTCTTAGAAAAAAATTAATTTTTATATTACTAAAGCATTAATTTTGCCTGGATAATCATCAGGTAATGTTGGATAATTTTGTTCAAATAAACTTTTATTCTAAAGAAAAAAAAAAACAAATAATAAATCTATAAAAAGAAAAACTTTTAGATTTGTTTTGTTTTTTACTAGATCATAGCCATCGATATTAAGTTTTATTTGTTTTTGTAAAATTGTCCAAAGTTCTGATGATAGAAATGGAATAACTGGTCCAATCATAACTAATAAATCACAAAGAGATCTTAAATATTCATTTGATTGTTGTTTAACATTTATTGGAACTTTCTAAAAATAAATTAAACTAAAATTTATATAAAATAAAAATAATCCGATTATTTTTTTACTCGTAGATAACGTGTTAATTTTTGTAATTCTATTATAGCTGATGCTACACTAAAAAAACTATCAATATAAAATGTCACTGTATAAATAGTATTTAATCGTTGATCACGTAAAGCTATTTCAATTTGACTAAATTCTTCATTAGTCATTGATGATTTTATATTTGATTTTGTTCGAGATTCAATTAATTCAACATAAAGATTAATTAAAATTTTAAACCAATTTTGTAAACCTTCAGCAATACCATCTTCCACTAAAATATAAAGTTTTGTATTTTTCAAAAACTTATATTAAAAAGTGCATCAGAATAAATATTTCTCTAAGTATTCTCTCAATATCATCGTCAAGATATAATTAAGCGAAAAAATTACATAGATAATACTATGACACTCAAATTTAGTTAATTTTCACAGACTAAAAAACTCTGTTTTTATCTATTCGTTGGAGTTTTAAACTAACGAAGAAAATAGAAAGCAGTCCTATAATGCTTGAAAAGTTCTATTTTATAATCCAAGTAGTAAAATTTTTGTATCAATTCCTACCATATCAACGATTTGTATCTTGTTCCAAACTTTATAAAAGTAACAATTTTGAAACAGTAATTTTGGTACACTTAGAGAAATTTGCATTAAACGATAAAAAATAGTGGGTCCTTATAACAATATTAAAAAAAAATGAATGGCACATTAGACTGAAATGCCAGAATTTGAATAGGAGATTATTATTTGAGTGTATTGCACAAAACAAGCAAAGTTTTACTAAAGTAATGTTTTTATCAAACAAAAATAACTTGGTTGAAACGAACTTCAATGTAAATCATGAGAAAGAATGCACTTAGTTATACTCCTAAACAAACTCTATCATGTTGTTATATTTCTGTTAAGTTAGAAAAAATGTTGAATTGTTTTGAAGAAAAAACAAGTTTTCGAAAATTGGGCATGTTACAGTCTCACAGTATTAATTATATAGTATTTCTGCTTAACATTCTTGTAGAAAATTGAATCGTAAATCTTTAAAAAAAAAGAGATAAAACTATAACGATGAACCTTGAACACTAGCAATCTCAATTTTTGTTTGTTTGGTACTTGCATAGCGAAAATGAAGGAACTTTCCAAGGCTGACTTTTTTCAGTATGTTACAATTGATGCTTACTACCAGTTACCTTTGAGTGAAACAAAAATCGTTCATTTTCTGAATCTACTTATTTCATATAGCTTTGAAACTATGAAAAATATTAACAGTAAGAATTTCTGAACGTGGCTGAACTTCTCTCAGTAATCTTCTAAAAAAGCCTTATTTCTATGAATACTTGGTACAGTTCCTAGTGTTTAGCAGTACTTATTTTTGTTAAAACTTACTTATCAACAGTACGCATTTAGATGAAACTAGCGTTCATAGAGTTCTGCTCAGCAAAATAGCGTCGAAAAATAGAAAACATCACTTGGTTATCCTATTGAGCATTCTGATTTTTACATTCGTACTTATTGGATAGAAATAATAATTACCTCGAATGATCACGTCATTTTTAATAGGACCAAAGCAGACTGTTCAGCACTACGTTTTAATGAAAATACTTACCGATAAACACTAGAAAGTGTACCAACTTTTTATAGGGTTTCGAATTTTTTAGGAAAGTTAATGATAAGAAATTGAATTCGATCTGAAAATTTATGTAATCTCTGTATGATCTGGCAATCTATTTAAATTTGTGAAGTTGCCTGCAAGTCGATTTTAGAAATCTCAAAGTAATTCTTTTAATTTTACTGATTCAATAAATTTTATCATTCAAATATTCTCTTTTAAATACTGAAAATAGTAACTAATTGACAGAATTTGTTCTCAAGTTCTTCATGATACAAAAACAAATATATTCAGTTTTCTTTTTCTTTATATAACTAGATTATAATTACAATTAAAATTGCGTAGTGATCTTGGATGAACAAATGTAAGCATAAGTATTCTTGTAAAATCTACTCCATATTGATCAATTATTTCTTCTGGATCAATACCATTATATTTTGATTTACTCATTTTTTCCCAATCGATTTGTAGTGGTTCTTTAGTTAATGAATGTATTACTGTATTTTTATCAATTGTTATAATATTATCTTTTGAAATATATTGACCACTTGATGTTTTATAAGTTTTACCTTGAACCATTCCTTAAATCATAAATATCATATTGTAAACAAGAAAAATTAACGATTTACAAAAAAAAATAAAATAAAAATTATTTTACCTATAGGTATAAATCGTTTGAATGGTTCAATAGAAGTACAAAGACCTTTCGAATGCATAAAATGTTGAATAAATCGAGCGACAAATAAATGTGTTAAAGCTAATAATGAAAAAGAAACACTTTGAAATATTCATTCTCCAATACAAAAAAAAAAACAACTGGGAAAAAAAATATACGTTAATATATATATATATATATATAAATTAATTACCATGTTCTAGCCCGCCGATATAGAGATCGACTGGCATTAATTTGTTAGCGATTTCTGGTTCAAACGGTTTTGTTGTATTTTCATTATCCAAATAGCGTAGAAAATACCATGATGAATCAACAAATGTATCCATTGTATCAGTTTCACGTTTAGCATTTAAATGTCCGCATCTAGACAAATTCTTATTACAAAAAAAAAACAAATCTCTCTGCAATGTATATTCACTTTGGACATCGAGTTTTTATCCAATCATGAGCATTAGCTAATGGTGAAATACCTGTTTTTGATGAAGATTTTATATTTTCAAGTGAAGGTAATCGAACAGGTAATTCAGTCATTGGTACTGGTACAGTCTGAAATGAAAATATGAAAAGTAATGATTGATAATGTAAACACTTCAAAACAGTAGAAGATTTCTCTGAGAATCGAGTTTTTTTTTGAAATAATACCTGCGGCTTATTGATTTTCTTAGTATTCATGTCCATAATAATATTTAAGTCCAATATAGGCAATATTTTGTTTTCATCATCACAACGTCGTATCAGTTTCGAGTTAGAAAAATGGTTAATAGGCAACCGTAATCTATTGAAAAATGCGTTTCATTATTGACAATATATTGTGGGGTCACTTCAAGGCTTTGTCAGAACATAATCTAAAAAACTTCTTTAGGTTTTCTGTACGAAAAAAGCGCTCTCATAGTCAAAGAACCTAAATGATGCAGTGCATATTCGCACGAGTAACATATGAAGAGATGCTTCTAAAATAGGAACATATTCGGTAAAACTTCATTATATATTTGTTAAAAGGTTTCTTCGGCTGTGCACTCTCTTCTAGAAATTCAGAAACATTTTCATTACAGAGCAGTGCATTCATAATTGAAAAAAACCATACCTTCAGATATATGTGTCGAATATACCTTCTGAACCTGAGAAGATATTTCTTTTCTCAAAAAGGATCTAAAGGCATTTTTCGAAATACACACAAAAAAAAATCAATGTTGAATATGTGCTCAGCTACTGTTTTTTCATAGACAATTATAAGCATTGTGTTGAAATTGGAACTAATAACTATACTAGTGATACGTTTCACTTCGATGGAACTTCGTATAAACTATTCATATCTCAAGATAAGTGACTGACTTAAATAGAAGATCTTAAGCTCTCTAATGTCTTGAAGGTTTGATGAAAAAATAAATATATATTCTTACGCCACAATGATTGCAATGAATTATTGGAATTGGTGTACCCCAATAACGTTGACGTGAAATACACCAATCATTAAGTTTACCAGATGTTCGATAACCACCTAATTCACGTGAACGAAGTTCAGCTAGTAATGTTTCTAAATCCAGTCTATACCAATGAGTTGATGAATCAATAAAAGTTGAAATTTTATGTTTATTTGCAAATGATTCATCAAATTCATTCGATAGAGGTGTACCTTATAATCAAAGATATTTTTATAATTAAAAATGCTTTTTTTTTTATTTACCTATTTGAACATTTAACATAGTCATATTTGATCGTATTTTTGGTCCAAAATCTGCATTATCATTAATAAAAATTGGTAATATACGTTCTGTTAATGGATGAATAGCATCAATACGTAAACGTTTTGCACCAGTATCAGTTTCCTATATAAATAAGAATGTTTAAAAATATTCTTGAATTTAAACTTGTCTTATACTTCGATTAGATCTGGTCGAGCTAATTTATGAGTACTTTGGATATAAAGATGTGTAATATTTAATAAAGTTTCAGGTTTTATTGTAAATGTTTCAATAAAATCAAATTCACTTGTGGGAATCTAATATAAACATGGATTGACAAAATTCTTTATCTCAATTATCCTACCGAAAGTTTAAAGAGTATATTAACTCCATTACATTCTCCCATCCACATGCGTTGAATATTAATTAATGTTTGCCAATCATCAGTGTCTAATGTATCAAGGCTATCGTAGAGAGACTATTAAGAAAAAAAAAATGAGAAAAAAAATGAGATAAATGATTGTATTTCAGAAAAAAAAATAAACACAAAAAATATACAATAAAAATAAAAGAAACACTTAAAGCTCAACTATTCTATAACATCGTTTTAATTCATCAATTGTATAAAAAAAATGGTTGATCATATCATATGGTTTACATTCATATTTAAATGGAACAGGATATTCATTAAATAACATTCGAATAAGTATTTGTTGATCGGGAAAATAATCAATTGTATCATTATTATAATTTCGATATATTTCCCATTGAATATTAGCTGCCATTGGTGAAACTAATTCACCACGCCAACCATTATTTTCATATGTATACGTTTCATTAATAGGTGTTGATTTATCACTTAATATCGGAATTTTTAATAGTGCTGCAAAAGGAATAATCGCTTCAGCATGAGTGAAACGTGCACGAAGAAAATGTGTTGAATCTATTTGAGAACATTGTTCAGAATGAAGAAAAAAATCATCAAGTAATATTTGTGCCATTTCATGTATTATGGTTCGATCTGAAAGTCCAGGACCTTTTTCATAATATTCCTAAAAATGATTTTTATTGAAAAGGTTTCTTTGAAAATTTTCAAGAGATATTTTACTTTTGCATCGTGAAGATAAGCAAACCAAGCTGATTCATTTAAATCAAAATATTTTTCTAATAAAGATTCAATACCTTCTTCACGTAAATTAGGACCAATTAAATATAGACCATGAAGCATACGAACAGCATCTACTTCATCTTTTATTGATTTTCCTGATTCACTATCATTTATTAAATAAGATCCATTAGCAAGTTTATCAATAAATGATTTGTGATATAATCGTTCAAGTACACTACGTGCCATTTGTCTTGAATATGGTTGCATTTGAACAGAACGAAGTTTATCTTTTAATTGTTTATCTTTTTTAAAACATGTTTGATATTTAATATCTTCATAAAATGAAAGTAATGCTGGATTTGCTGGTTCATAATCAATTAAATGAGTTATAGCTACTGGTAAACCATGTACAAATGCAGTTGAACTTTCTTTCGTACGAGATTTACCACTATTCACAATACTAATACGAGTTGAAGAATTAGTTAATAGAACTTTCATAAACAATGGTAAAATACGTTCAGTTAAACGTTGTGCAAGAGTTTGATGTTCAATTTTGCCAAGTCCAGATAATTGACCACGTCTGTTTTTTTTTTTTTTTATTAACATAATAAGGAAAAATATAAAAATCTAAAAATTACAAAACTTAAAACAAACCCTAATTTATCATTGATAGAAATAAAATATTGAAGATCTTCACCAAATTGTTGACCATATTCTGTTAATGCTTGTTTTTCTTTTGCTTGTGTCCATAATGCCATTGTTAATTTATCATATTTTCGACCTTCTAATGCTCGACAACCGTGCCGAGCAAGAATTTGTGTACATACTAATTCAAATCCCGTTGGTGGTAAAGGTAAAACTAATGTTGATGGTGGTGATTTATAAGGTGTTTTAGTTGAATAATATTTTCTATATGTATTACTTGTTTCGTTAAATACAAAACTTATCATTGATAACAAAAGATAGTATATGATTATGTTCATTATTTGATAGAACACAAATTTAGAGAATGAATAAATGAAAACTAAGAAAGAACTACATATATGCACTTATATAAAGAAAAAAATTGTCTATTCTATCGATGATTACACTCAGGTAGGTGGAATAATCAAGGGTTTATTTCGATATTTTTAAATAAATAATAATGATTGTTCGCACGACTAACAATCTCATATGAAATGTAAATATTAAATGATCTTCACGTGCTAATTCTATTAATGAGAAATATAAGTAACTATACCTGGGTAAATGCACGTGTACGAATAAACCATTGTTTTAAATATTTTTTTTCAACAATTGCACCAGATCGCCATGAACGACCAGCTTCATCGATTTGCTCATCGGCTAAAACTGTTTGATCAACAGGATCCCAATTAACAGCTGCCTGAATAAAAAGAAAATATATTTAATAATCTTAAAATGTTTAATAAATATTAACTTTTTTTTGATAAACTAATCCTTCATGATATAACATAAGGAATATATATTGTGTCCATTTATAATAATTAGGGTCACATGTTGATAATTCCTAAGTACTATTTATAATAAATTATTTCGTTTAAAAAAAACCAATTCATTTACTCGTTTCCAATCAAAACTACAACCAAGTTGTTTTATTTGTTGTTTCATATAAGCAATATTTCTATTTAAAAAGAAAGTCTACGTAAACTATTACTTAATGAAGATTATTTACTTTTTTGTCCATTGATCGGGTTCTTCTGATCGTTCAAATGCAGCATTTTCAGCTGGTAAACCAAATGCATCCCATCCAATACAATGAATAACCTAGTTTTTGTAACGAATTAAAAAAAAACAAAGAATCTAATTACTTTAAACTAACTTACTTGATAGCCTCGCATTCGATAATAACGTGCTAATGTATCACTCAACGTGTATACACGTACATGGCCCATATGTAAACGACCAGATGGATAAGGAAACATGGGTAGAATATACATTTTTTGTTTCTTATCATTAGCCTATTTTGTTTTTTAAGACAAAAAAAAAAACAAAAGTCAGTAGATACGAAAAATAATTTCAAATAGATTGTTTTTTACTTGTTCTGATTGATATTTTTCATGTTCATCAAATAATTTTGGTATCCAATGTTTTTCTATTTCTTTCGTTCGATCTATTGCCGAAATTTTTGGCTAGAAAATAAATAGAAAGAAAACACTTAAATGATGCTTTCTTTTTTTTTAAACTTTTTAAAACAAAATAAATTATGTTTAAGGAATACAAAAATATGATTAATTGATATTTTGAATAATGTGTACAGGTCGTCGGAACTTAAAATAAGAATACTAAAGTAGCTTGATTAAAGATATAGAATATATCTATAATAATTTGATTCATAGAACTCATTTTATTAGTAATAAATATGTTTTGACACTAAAGCCTCAATAATTAAGTGGCTATCTAAATTTTTGATTGATTCTTATAAAGTCTTCGACATATTAGAAAATTTACGAGATCTTCTATCCTGTCTTTTCGTTCACAAGTTACAAAGGGATGCCTTCTATTATGTTCTTAAAAAACCATAGTTTTATCTAGTCCTGTTGAAAACTCTTAGCTTCGATTCATATTAGCTCAATACATCATTTATTAACGAATCTATCTGACTTATCGAAGTCTCGTACAACGAAAAAGAAACGTGCAGTATCCTTTGAGAGAAAAGGAAATAATTGTTGGTGAAAAGAATATTCTTAAAGCAATTTAGTCAACATACCATATAATCTTTGTACAATATACCAAATCACTATTTTTTCTAAGGAAGGGAACCTATCATTGGTAATATTTAATCTTCTATATATGTAAATCAGTGAAAACAATGAAATCTTTACAAGTCAGTGGTTTATGTTGAGGCTTGAATAGTGTAGACAGAATTGATTAACAATGAAATGAATGACTAACATAGTTATTAGTCTCCAACTAACTTAAATGAATGCAGTTATCTCCAAAGTAACAGTTTATTGCAAAACAATTCAATATACGTTAAATATTTCTTACGCTATTTTTTGTATTGATTCTGAAACATATCGTTGTATCTATCTGAGGAAATAGATGCATTCTCAGCCTTAGAAGAAGTACTTCATAGAACACACATGGAGATGTATATTCGCAAGTGTACTTTTCCCTAATCATGAGTGAGCTCTTGCGTGATAAGAAGATGTCTGAATTTTTAATAGAAAACGAAAAATTACAAAAGCCTTATAAATTAATTCATATACAACAGGATTTTCTTCAGAAAGTTCGATTCATAAGTGACCCGTGTGAATCTGTTAATTAGATCCTATGGCCATGGGAATATTCTTTTTGTAGTCAAAAAAGTCGAAGACTTTCTACAGAGTATACTACAAAAGGTCGTTGAAGTGATACCAAAATATATCTTCAATAAATTGTTCTTTCGTATTAGCTGTTTCTCATGACTTTCCTAATTCAAAACTGATACATCATTAATATAGTGGAAGCAAAATATTGTTTTATTTTTAGCAAAGGTAGAACGAGTACAACTACAGATTTTATCCTTGTACTTTGACAGTGTACCTGTTTTTTTTAGCTTTTCTTTTCGCAAGTGTCCTTGTACTCAAGTATGAATAAAAGTACTTCGTGTTTTTATTTGATGTATAAATATAATAAACTTCGTTGTGAAAGTTGACTATCTCTGATAAGTTTTTCAAGACTATCGTGACATCATCGGATCAAAAAATAAATGAAAATAAGAACATTATAATAAATTTCTTTTTCTCTCATATGTTGATGAACTTATTGTAGGACACTTTAAAAAACATTTATTTTAATTTTTTGAGTTTCGTCAAAGTTATGATGAATATCTATAAATGATGATGCTAGTTAGACTTACAATCATAGATAAATGTAGTTCTTGATGATACTAACAAAAACCTATGTATATTCCGATCCATGCTCTTGAAGTCAAGGCAGATTATTGCTTTGGTGCATTTTCGAATCATTAACAGAAATTTTTAAACTTTAACTAAAAGGATTTTGATATTGGAATATTGATGAGTCTTCTTACATGTATCTTATACTTTCGTAAAAGTTTAAATGAAAACTATTAATACTTTCTAACGACATTGAACTTGACACAAATGCAGTTTATCAGATCTACTTTTATAAGTGACTAAATCGTAATCCAAGCAGCTTTATTAGAGTTTTCAGACCCAACAACTCTAATAGAGAACCCTCAGAAACTATAGCTGCTCTAAACTTATGTTCACCACTATACGAAAGTATTTTATTTCGGGTACAAGTACAAATGTTGTTGTTCGAGCTCTGATTTGAGCTCTAGTCCTTTAATGTATCAAAGATTTCAAATGATTCACACTCTTCATATGTATATATATATAAATTTTGAAATAAGTACCCATTTGCCAGTTAAACTGTAGATTGTACGTCGCAATTGTAGATATCGCATGATTTTTCGTTTTAATCTACAATGTGAGTTATTTTTTCATTTATCTATAACCCAAGTCGTGAATGTATATTTAAAAAAAAATGAAAAAGAAAAACTGAGATTCATTAAATAAAAGAATAAAGTATACAATACACCGACATAAATAGCAAAAAATTCAGATTGAGAAAAAAATAATAAACATTCATCTTAAAATTCTTTATGCCCATGAAATAAGTGAAAGAAAAAAATTTTTTATTCGTTTTTTTCTTGTTGATTACTAGATAAATTTTTAAAACGTTGACATAAAAAATTTTGTTTGTCCTCATAATTATAACCAAATTTTTGATAAAAACTAACTAAATGATCTTTACATTCTAATGATATTTTATAACAATCACATTCTTTACGAGCAAATTGTGTTAATAAGTCAATAAGTAATTTTCCAAGTTGTTGTCCACGGCATCGATCATGGATAACAACATCTTCAATTCGGCCACGTATACCTAATTGACGAATAAATTTTTTTTCGCAGACAAGTGTTGCTGTACCAACAATTTGTTTATCAATATTTAAATCTTGTATCACAAGAATGTAATATGTATCTAAGCATTGTTTTAATTCATTAAAACGTTGTTTAAAATCATTATATGTAATTGTTCCACATTCAGTTAATTGACGAAGTAATTCAATATAACCATGATCATAATCGGACATTGCTAATGGTCGAATTAAATATTTTTCATCGTAGATATTTTCGTTAAGTTTGAAATCTTTTAATGAATATTCTTTAAAAATTGATTCGAGTGAGTTTATATCAAATAGGTATTCATCTTGATGATCATCATCTGACTTTTTTAAATGATAACCATTTTCTTGAGCCATTTTTTTGGGTTTTAAAATAAATAAAATGAAAATAAATGAACAAGTCAATTTCAACTATAAACTAGACATATGAAGGATTGTTGTAATCATGATAGTGACAAATAATATTATTTACAATAGATGGCAGTGAAAACTGATCTTTTACCCTCTGTGTTTAATATTTTGTTTATTTTAAATAAAAAAAAAAACTTTTCTTTTGACATAAAGAAAATATATTTAATCAATTTCGAATGAGATTTATTTGTTTCTTTATTTAATATTTAACATTTTTATTTCTCATATCATGACTCTTTACAGCTATCTGTCGATTTCCTGTACAACCTTTTCGATGTTTAGTTACGGCATTTTCAGTAGCAAACTTTCTTTGACATAGAGAACATTGATATGGACGATCATCTGATGATTGAATAGAATTATTTATTGGATTATATTGTCCTTTGATAATATTTTGAAATTGTTGATGTTTTTCTCTCCAATGAGTTCGTAGAAAATGCTTAGTCAATGATTGAAGTTCTTTACGTTTAGCATTTGATTGAGTTGTACTAATACTATAATCAAGACCTTTCCAACGATGTAATTGACTATCATAATGATAACCATGTAAAGAATTCAAATGAAGTTTTTTTGATTCTTTACAAGCTCGTTCATGTTCCATGAGACGATTTTGAGTAAAATGACGATTACATATTGAACATTTTCGAAGGTTTAAAATTTGTTCATTATCTCAAAAACAAAATATGAAAAAATTATCATTTAGTAGAGGAAACTCCCAAGTATCGATAACTGTTCCATTGCATACTATGACTATGAGTAGATCTCGATGAGATTAAGACAAGCTTAAAAAAATTACAGTACATGGTCTGCTGATAAAGACTTATAGATGTTCTGATGAAATTTTTTCTAAGAGCCAGCTATTAGAATTTCGACCAAAAATTCAGTCTATTGGCATGTTTAACAGCTATTAGATTATTCCTAAAAGTTCTAACAAAAATGATTATATTCTTCTCGAGATATTCGATTTCGAAAGTTGACTCGATTCTTGTGTTCTCCTATGATAAATCACCTTTGTTCTTAGACACTGAATATATCGAGAAAGACATGTTCATTTTGGTAAAACTTTAAGGATAATCTAATCGCTATCAAAAGTGTCTATAGACCAAATTTCTGGTCAAGTCTCTTTGTTTTGGATTACTCGGATATGCTTTACTGTCAGTAAAAGTTTCATTGAAACATCCATAATATTTGAAATCGAACGGTGCTCCACAGTTGGATATGTTTCTGTGGTAGAAATATACGATTTTTCGATAGATGAAGCAAGATTTTTTTATTCAATAAAGAAAAACTTAAACGAAAACCTATTGATTCAATGTAATAGACTAAGCAGTAGAATGTAATTTTTTATTATATACAAAAGACGGTTGTTACACTAATCCATTAATCCATACGAGCACTAATTAAGTATAAGAATGAATATTTGAATAGATTAAATAAATATTGTACTATTTGGGATAGGCGATAGGAAATATTTTTTCGTGAAGTTTTTCACATAAATAATTACTCGATAGTTTAAAATAATATCATTTATGGATTGCGATAGTTGATGTAGACATATTTATTGCTTCTAAAAATGTCTTTTTTAAAGTTTTTTTTTTCAATTTACTTATCATTAAAACATTTAAACACAACTCAAGTGTTTTTGATAACATTATTCTTCTTCTCACGCATATTTCTAAAAGTACGAAGGTTGTATATGATTTCTATTATACTCTTTCATCTTCCATTAATATAGAACGAAGTTACTATGTGTTCTTATTTTTTTTAGAATAAATGAATACATGAGGCATAAATAAAGTTAGAAACAATAGATCTCAAGATTAACTTAGTGCTCTATTTATAATTTCATATGACACAGGTTCCTTCAAATTTAAGTCGATTAGAAGACGAAAAATAAGAAGAACAATGATTAACACAAACCTGATTGGTGACGTTTATTATTTCTATTATCTTGCAGTTCACTTAGTTGCCGTTTTTTTTCATGTTCTTTTGACATTACTATTCATAAAACATTACATAAGAAATTCTGATTTTATTCAAAATCAAAATAAGTAACTTTTTATCAGAAAAAAAAAAGAATACACAAAAAAAGTCACTTGACAACATATTTTTATCATAAATCTCCATCGCGAACAAATTTATTTCCTTGACTTCCTTCACCACTATATTTTTGTGGAACTTTTCCTACAGATATTCGACTTTTATTTTTATCTGTATCTGATGGTAATGGTGTATAATAATTTTTTTTTTCATTTTTTTTCTCATCATTTGTTGTTAATGATTGAGATTGTTTTGTTTCAGCTATGGAATAAAGTATATCACCTAATTGTGTTGCAATATAACGTTCATTTGAACTTATTTCACTTGCATCAAGAAATTTTAATGTTGGTATACGAAATATAAGTAAATGTCTATAACGTTGATATTCTTCATCGAGACGATTTTGTGCAAATGTACTAAAATCTGTATTATTAGATGATGTTTGATTATTTGCAATTATTTGATATGGACAAGCTTCATTACCTAATAAGGACAAATGTGCTAGCATTGGATAAGCATGACGTAATTGATCAACTAATTTATATATGTCTTGAAAACGATTTTTATTTAACATTAATGTTTGTAAATTAGATAATTTTGGAAATTTTGTATGAGTATCATCTAAATCATTATCATCGAGAATAAGTTCTTCAAGATATGGAAAATTTTTAATACAACCAAGTGAACGAAAACGATTTTTACTTAAATCAAGAGACTAAATAAAACAAAAAAAAAAAACATTGATTTAGGATAAAATTATTTTGTTTTTACTTTTTACCTTTGTTTTAAGTGAGAATGCTTCAATAACACTTTGTGGAATATCATCAAAATTCGAACCAATACAAATAAGTCTTTGGGTATCATCATCATATATAAATTGACTGTCTTCATCAATCGGATTTATTGTTGCATCTGTTGATAACTCATCTGATTGAGGTACAATTATATCATTTTCAGGGATTTGATTTGTTGTATCATTATTAAGCCGCTCGCTTTCATTATCCGTTTCATTACTCATTGTACTGCTGTTAATACTACCTGATGATATTGATATAGAATCTGTTGACGTTGAAACTGCTTCGAAATGATGGTGAAGTAAGAAGAAACAAGAAAATGAATGCATACAAATGATAAGATATCAAATAAAGAAAAAGAAATATTTTGTTAGGTTTCTTCATGAGTTTTTATTTTCAAATATATAAACGACGTCATAAGAAAAAAATAAACAAATGCCAAGTGTTATTCAAGGATAAAATACAATATTGGAGTATTCTAGTGTTATCATCATGAAAGAAAAAAAAAAGGTATCATAATGTACTTATTTAACCTAGAATCATATTTAGAAGATGATGAGCTATCCATTATATACTTAAGTCCTTTTTAATTACTGCTACTGACTTTACTGATTATTTTCAGTATGTTTTTTTCCAATAAATCTTAAATTCAAATCAAAACCATTCTTCTACTGATGAATCTTTTGAAAAACTAACATAGTAAAAAAAGATATGACCAGCTATGTTTGGTAACCTCACATAATGATTCACAGGTAAGTACATTGAAGTCTGTTGTCACAAGACATCATAAGACACTTTTGAAATATATCTAACCTTTCAAAAACATTTTAGAATTATGTTAAGAGCTTTGTCTAGATTTTTGCCTTTAATAGATTCTATTGAGTACATTTTTATTGTATACATCATATAGGAAAGATCAAAGAAAGGAAATTATCAACTAAGTTCTTAATAAATATTTAATGAAATGCATAGGAACAAAATGATTCAGCATTGAATTTTTCGTTTTATCTATTCAGATATAAAGAAAATAAATCTAGTTGATTCAGTGTTATTTAGTGATTGCAATCGGAGTGGAGTTGGGTTAAATGAAATCCTTGAACCTTCTCCGTGATAAAGTTTAATATTGTAAATGTTCATGTAGAGACACTATATATCTGAGTAATAGATATCAAAGCGTATAATTGAACATGCAAAGTCGTACTTCTAGCGATGTGCATAACTCTACCAGAAGGTACCAGTACTCGTACATTCTTCTTGCGGCTTTTCTCCAAGATTCGCTTAATAATATTAATGTAGATGACTTTAGAGATCATCAATACATCAAAATTGAAAGACGCTTTATGAACATTTGAATTGAGAATGTTTGCCGACATATCTCTATAGTTACCTCTAAATCTTTTTTCCGATGAAAATAGATTTTTCTAAAAGAATGGACAGCCTTATTCAATACTTTCATGAGATTCTCAAACAATTAGTTGCTATGAAAAGTCATTGAGAGTTTTGTAATGAAAGGAAAAGAATCATTCAAAAATAAAATTTTTGATTGAGATGATTAAGTTGAACAACGGAGAAAAGCGTATGTCTATGATCTATTGGCATTAATATTGGTAAATGATAACTTTAAATTAGCATATATTCCCTAATTAACACAAATTTCCGTGGTCTAGATCTTGTTTAACATAATAATGATTCGATTAATAGATTGTGAATAGGTTAGAGGTAAAACTATTACAACAGCTTGCCTCAGATGTTTTTCTCAATGGTCAACATTCACTTTCAGTACAACGGAAATAAAATCAACCTTTATTGTTTTGTAAAGGCTTTAGTCATCTTATTGATAAAACAATTAATGTTAAAACTTATTGACAATGTGAACATAATCAAAAGCTTAAAAGTTAATATTAAGCGCATACTAATTATATGAAGAATTTCTTTTCAATGATTCGATTTATATTACGTTCTTCTATCAAAACAATAAGTTTTATTTCATTTTTTGAGGGGGATTAAGAATCATGATTTTTGATAATAGAATTTGTTTTCTTATTATGAATTTCTCGATTAAAATTGGAATGTATTGATTTTCGTATCGTTCAACCATCAATGGCCATTTTTTGTTTGACCAATCTTTGCTCTTCCATTTTCTGGAACATATTTTATTCAAGATTAAACAGTGATCGTTTAGCGTATGTGCTCAAACGATGAATTAGAAAATAAGAGTTTTCGTTCAATAGAGAATAGTAAGGTAAACAGTTGATTGATGATTTTGAGTTGTTTTTTTTGTAGTTTTTTGTCTTTTTTTTACAACGTGCAGTCATTTACGTGAATGATCAAAGAGCGCAAGCATTCTATTTAGATGTGAGGAACAGAAAATTCTTTCCATTTCGGTCTGTTGTATTGTTACAAATTCAAGTCATGGAATATACTTTGACAAACAAGAAATGCTTGACAATGCATTTCATCCATTGTCAGTACGTTCTAAACTCTTCAATTCACACCTGTCATCATTATTATCTACTGCACCAACCATTGGGAAAAAAATATGTCTAGAGCATTATAAATCAAGACATGTTAGATGCGAAACGAGCACCAAATTTATTATATTTTGAATAAATGCAACGATGTTGAGGAGACTGTGTGACTTTGGACAAATACTAGACTTACAACCATACTTTCACATCTTCCTCCTAGGATTCTGAGTCTTGATATTGTTGTACTGTCACATGAATTTCATCGTGTACATTGAACATATTCAAAATTTGTAAGTCGTCCATTAACATTTCAACTCATATGATGAAAATCGCCAAGAAACCGAACTTAGAGAAATTGTGAATTTTTTTTAGAAAAGTTTTGGATTTTCACTTCTGTTTAGATTCAATTTAGAGCTTCTTCTCGATATTTTATTGATCACAACTAACAAATCATTTCTTCTGTAAGTAATTCTTATCTATTCAGCATGCAAGATACATTACAGATAAATATTGTCTTGACTATGATGTGTTTTAATCGTCTTAGACTTTATACAAAGACTGTACGAATAACGATTTCTCAAAATATATTTCTGCAATGATACTTATTATCGTTTCGATTTTGGTATTCATTTCGTTACTGAATGAGCCCAAATATAGTTTATATGCTGAACAAGGTAAGCAGTTAACGAATGTGTTTTAGACACATCGTGATTTACCGATAAAACTAATCAGGTATTTTCAACATGAAAAATTGGCTTTAGCGAAATTTTTATTCGCATATCATCAACACACAATACTATTAAAGACGAAAAACTATTGGTTTGCATGCTATTATTTTCAAGTCTTTATAAGATTATTCAAAATCTTTGTGCTCATTTCATTTAAACTTAATTTGGTACTCAATGATTCTAACATCACATCCATTGTATCTTCTCTCAAAATTGATAAACTGCTTTTTTTCTTGTTTATTTTATAAAAAAAAATATTATAAAAATGTCGAATAAGTATCACCAGTTTCAGGACCACAGCATTTACATTGACAAGATATATATATTCTTTGATTAGCTATTTAAAAAAAAAATTTAATAAATACAATGTCCAAATATATGCAAAAAGTTCTATTTACCAAATCCATTGTCACTGATTTGTTTGTCTTTCCAATATTTTTCAGATATTCTTTGTTGACGTCTTCGAATATGTGCTATATCATAATGATTATTTTCAGCAAAAGGGCTTTTTTTTCTATTATCATGAGATTCTATTGAAAAAATAAATTCAAATTACCCTAAAAATATTAATCTAATTTAGTTTACTTCTACGGATTAAACAATTTATTGGCCATAAAAATAAATTAAACGGTGGAACAAACATTTGCTTTTCTTCATATTCTTTTAGAACAACATAAAAATGATAGCACCATGCTTGACGTGATTCACCATGAACACGTTGAATTGTAAAACTAAATAAAAAAAGGATTAAATATATTCTTCAAAAACCCTTAATGATATCATACTTAAACAAAGCAATAAGATTATTTAATAAAAGAACATATGCAATAATTATAAAAGTTATTGTTAATATTAAAGTAACAAAACCATATGCATCATTTTGTGCTTAAAAAAAATAAATAATTTGAAAATTTTAAATTTTTATAATTTAAATATAATATAATTAACCGGAATATTTCATAGCAACTGAAGCACTTGTTTCTAAACTAGTACTTCCAAATATTTTCCATGTACCCCATTCAATAATATTTCGTAAATTTTCCAAATTAGTCATATTTCCTCCACCTTGCAATGTTGTAAAATATGTTGAATTTGCCCATATAACCATTGATGATGTTGATATTAATGAATATGTTGTTATTGTATATGCCAAATGAAAAATAAAGATGAAAAGAAGAAATAATACTAAATCTTTCATCTAAAATAAAAATAAACAATCGAAAAAAAATTCTTTGTTAGCAAAATAAAAATTTTGACTTACCGTATGAAATATCATTAATAATTTTGGTCCTAAGACTTGTGATGCAAGAAATATATGTAAACATCGTATATACCAGAAACATAAATCAAGACTCATAAATATTCTAATAAAATAATGAAAAAAACAAACATTATTAAGCATCCCAGTTTTTTTTCTTTCTCATACTTTGATATGGCAAATACATAATCTTTAACAATAAAACGTGTAATAAAACCAATCAACCAAAAAGTAAAAGCAACCAAGTCTAATACATTCCATGGATCATTATTATAAAATGACCATATTGTATTACGATGACGTTTCATTCCATCTAATCTCTTCCAAAAAGGAGATTTAACTAAAACTGATTTAACATGTAAAATTACCTACAAAGGTAGGTCATATTGAAATTTTTATATTTATAAATAAAAATAATTGTATACTTGTTGAATCTCTTCTACAGCTATTGATAAAAGAAATATATGTAAAATCAATTCGGTTAATGGAATAGGTAAACCATAAATATTTGAACGTTGCTCGTTGTAAATATTCAATGGAAAATAATCAAATAAAATTGTATAACTGAATAAAATCAGAAAAGCAGCATATGAAGCCTAAAGGCCAACAAAAACATATTTGATAAAAATCTTTTTAAAAAATCCTTCAAAAATAAAACACAGAAAGAACTTGGTTGTAATTATTTCTCAGTTAATACTCATCTCATCAAATATTTTCCTTCGGTTTCAATTCTTTTTGTGACTATAAATAAAGTATCGAAAGACTTGTATTTTTGAATTTCGATTTACAACTTTGCTCATATAAAGAACTTAACTAGAATAAGTTACGTAAAAAATTCAAAGGTTTTGCAGAAAGTTTCTTCGAAATATAAGACTTTCTAGAAATAGACTCTATTTCATGGATATAACATGAGTTTTTTGAAAGCTCCATATCTCGAAGAGACTTTGTTTAAAACTTTTGAATTTTTTAAAAGACGTTGATCTAGGTGGATTCACTTTATGTTCTAAGTTCCAGACCGAAAGTTAAGAATACAAGTTTCAATAAATCATTAAAATTGAAAGAAGAAATCTGAATAGATTCTCTTATTAGGTAACTTTGAATGGCACGACACAAAGAGATTTCGACTGTATTTAATCGAAAGTTATGCTAGCTTTTTATTTTCAATCGTATGACATTGCTTTACAAAATTTACAGAGGTCTTCTATGCTACTGTAATAGCTCACAATTTAATTCTGGGAAATTAAATCGTTGACAAGTGAGTTTGAGACATTTCGAAAAAATATTCATAATTCAATAAGAAGACAAGCGCAAAAAATCGACCTTGTATAGTTCGCAAAAGCAGTGCTTTGTTCAATATGACGGCCGAATTGGTGGTGTTCCTTCAAAAATCAAGTTGATCCTCCTCCGAAGTTTGTACTTATTAAGAAAAGTTCGATGTATTTCTGCTCCGAGAAATAGGTGTTCGATCTCTTGAAGTTTCAAAGCACTCTTCTGAAAGAAAAAAAACTTGAATAAGACACTATACGACGGTTTCTTTTACACTGAAGATTATAGCCTTTTTTCAGAGGTCTTTTATGGGAATATATCGAAATCTGATTGAATCGATCCTAACTGTTGTGTTTTAAATATAAAAACAAGCAGATTGCTCATGACTTTCATGATTGATACAATCAAGTTCATTCTTATATAAAACAGTCATACAAACCATATTGTAACGGAATCGAACACATGCATTTCCATAATAAAATCGATTAAAAGGTTCACATAGTTTTCTTATTTTACTTCGAAAGTTACGCTTTGGCTCTTCAATCTTCTCAATCTCATCCCATTGAAGAACCCGATTACGTATCGATGGAATAAGTAACACTAATGGAAGAAGACATACAAGACACACCTATAATTAAAATAAATATTGATTTGTGTTTATTAAAATTCATTTTGTGGTGTATTTTTTCATTACCAATATATCCCATAAAAAATTTTTATTTCGATGAAATTGCTTTCCATACCATACTGTATTAGCATACGATTGTATACATTTAGTTGATACTAATGCTTTGGAACAAAGATCATCGATTAGAACTGATGGTTCTTGATCTTGATATAAAATTGATTTTTCATTTAAGAATTCAATTGTCTCTTCTTCATTGTCGGCATAATAAAGATCAAGTATATCAGCAGCATACACTTGAAATTGTCTATAATATAAAGTTTATTTAATTAACGGGGAAAAATCACCAAATGTTCAATCGCTGTTTATTCAAGACCTGATACATTGTAGGTAATCGATCATACTGATTTCCGGATATCAACATGATTTTTGCCGTTACACCTTCAAATATCCTGTTTTATACAGTGAAATATTTTTTTTGTCAAAATTCTTTTTACTGTAGAGGGGTAAAAAATAAGTTTCATTTCTCATTATTTCTAGCGCTTTTCTTTCGACAATTACATTATACATGTTTTATTACCAACTTTTCTCTGTATGTTACTCAGTTTATTTTCAAATTTTCCATTTAAATTTTTATCTTTTTTTAAACCATATTATTATAACCTATCTTATTCGTTCTTCTAATATAAAATCAGTTGATAATTATCACCAGAGAAGGAATTCTTTTGCACGTACGTCAGTCGTAAGTATTTTTTTACTATTTCGTTACGTATAAAACTTTACTCCCTATGAAACCTAAATAAAGATTCATCTAACATCTACACGAATTTTACCGTAAAGAAAACAGTGAGTAAGTTAAAGTGCTTGGGAATTTTTTCTTGTCATCGAGCTTTCCAATGAACAGCAGAGTATGTTATAACTATCGAAACATAATGACATAACATAGTGTAGTGCAGTAGCAATATTACGCGAGTCATGTGCAGATTCTATGGAAATTCAAGTACTACAGACTTTTTACTTCTCCAGTTCTTTGACAAAAAAAAATTTTCGCTATAGAAGACTGGTTTTTCAAAAGTTTATATTTAGAATCAGCACGTTCGATTACCAATAATCTAGCAAGTTTTGGCTAAGAATTGATTGAACTGTTAGTAATCTTCCTTCGTATGAACAGATAGATAGAAATTGACTTACCGGCGATATTTTCGATACTTATCTGATGTTGTAGTATCATGTTCTGCTTTATATTGACACCATTGACTAACAAGTAGCATGGCAGTGATTGAATCCTTATTAAAATAAAATAAAGAAATTTTTCATTATGGAAAATTTTATTTATACTTCTAATCGAGTACAAATACTCAAAACAAGATCAAAATATTCATTGTCAACAGCCCAACAGAATACAAGACGAAGATACACTAGAAAAATATCAATAAATAATTCAACCTAGAATATCATTATAAACATACTTCTAATTCGTTTATTTCGATCAAGATGTGTTACAGCAGGAATACTTTCAACGAGAAGTTCAGTCGCGTAACTTTCTACGTTGGAAAATGATGTAATAAATTTCTTTATCTCTTTTTTAAAACATTTATTGAATATTTTATTCTTACTTTTTTTGTCAGACTAAATATAAAAAAGAAATACATATTAAATATATTTTTTTCTTGTTTATTTAATATAATTACTGTTATTTGGAAAAGATCAAAATTACCAATAAGAGCTAAACGTTGTAATGATGCACCATATTGAAATAATAATTCAACGAATGATACAGCATTTGAAAGGATTGCAATTTCAAGGCATATATCTAATTCGTTATTCTATTACATAGATTTTTTATTAACAAAACAGAAAAAAAAGAACAATTATCTTACTGTCCAGTTAATAATGGTATTATAATTGAGTATATGCTTTTGTGTATACTTAATTCTATTGAATCGTATAGCAAAACTCAATTCTATGACATGAGCATGAGAGCTATCAATAATTCGTATTGCTTTAAAAAAGAAGAAAGATAAATGAAGACTTGACAAAGAATGATTTACTAACCAGAACTAATTGCCCGAAGGATACTTTCATCAAGCTCATCTCTACCAGGTTGACAAACAAAGATAAGGCGATTTTTATTATTCTTTATATGAGAAAATGTGCGGAAATCTAGTTCTGATAATAATTGTTCGGTAGATAATTCTGAACGAGTAGTTTTAAATTCACTTCCAGTTTGTTCACATATAGCAGCTAATTGATTAGCAATCAATCCTGTACCCTTTCATATGAACATAAATTATAAAGAAAACGTCTTAATTTTCGATCACAAATTTTTTACTTTTAAAATGATAGTTGGAATGGATTTAGTAATATTTTCTATGATATCTGTTACAGAGGAAGTATCACCTAAATGAATACATAAAAAGTTAATCGAATTCAATTGATGTTTAGTTTGCTTTACCTTGCATAAGTAAAGTGACAATAGGGATTCGAGAAAATGCTTCTAGTTGTTGCATTTGACTAATAATTTTATCTATGAATCGATCTGCTGTAGTATGATACATTAAAAGTTGTGATTTTCCAAATGGCTAAGAAGATTAAACAAGATGAATAGGTAGGAAATTCTATAATTGTTTTTTTTTTCTATATCAACTTTACCTCACATGTAATAATATTTGGATTAAGTTCATTATTTTCAGTTAGTTCTTTGTCATAATCTTCCAAACCAATCATTGCTCTAGTACCACTCAAAAGCCAAGTATCTATTATACGAATGAATAAAAAACATTTGGTACATTTCAGTTTTGCTTAGTATAATCAAAATAACATAACTTACTAGTCTTTTCCATTATTGTGCGTATGGATTGTTGCAATGCATTTTGAATTGATGCTCTAGGTAAATTTCGGGTTTGTTCATTATTTGTACCAATTATTTTAATAATCAAATTTGGTAATGGTTCTCGATGTAAATAATCACTGAATGCTTGTTCATCATCGTTATATTTTACATTAAATCTTCGAGAATTAGTTGGAAACTTATTTAAAGACTTAGCAACTAAAGTGAATTTAGATACTCTCGCCTAATAAAATAAAATGTGAGATTATTGTTTCATTTTTTCTGTCTATCAATGATCAATAATTGATTTTCTTACTTGTTCATATTTATCTCGTGAAAAAATGTGTTCCGACATGTTGGCTGTTAATCTTTCGTCAAAGATACACCCACACTTAAAGCAATTCTGCAATTTATGAAGAAAGTAAAAGAAAAAGTAAAGGTTTTATTTTAGTAATGATAACACAGCAAAAGTAGAAAAAATAAATATGAATGATAACCGCTTTTAGTACAAGGTGAGTATGTTGTTGATGAATAAATCAAACATGAATCATCAATTGATAAAATCAATCTTAGTTTATGCAATATTCATATGGATATTTGATTGTCAAGTAAATTATGATAACTATCAATTTTCTTTTGTATTTTTTTTTATATTTATTACGAATAAACTCTAGGACATATGCAAATATATCACTTATGATTTTTTACTACGCAAAATATAATCTTGTAAATCGATTTGAATTCTACTATTGGTAAAAAAAAGAAAGTTACTTCTATGAATTGTACAAAAGCGAAGAATACATGTATTCATCTTCATTGTATTACAATTAAATATTATAAGAAAAATAACACATTACTACTTTAATTTCTATTATGTTTAATATCTATATTTTAGATTTATTGAAATTAGAAAATAATTTTTATTGATAAGATTGTTGTTTAATTAAAATAAATTATTATGTCCTGAGTATGAAAATACATCGTTATTTCTCTTTAGAGTTAATTTCGAAAGCAAATATAACCCTTTTTTGCTTTCTGTTTTGATGTTGCGATAACTACCTTCGTTTTATTTTCATATTTCCAACATCATATTGAATGAAACATTGAGTAATATTGACATGATGATATCCATTTCGTTTTTACACATGAATTTCTTTTGAAAACTTTGAAAAGTATCCTTTTGTGAATCTGATAGATTTACATTCTATCGTGTAACATAATATTCATATTTGAATTTCAATGCATAGGCTTTTAATCGATTGCATATCAATAACAAAACATCAATATATTTTTGAACTCTATGGTTTAAATGCATCCATATGATAATAGTATCATGATTCTCATCAATGAATTCACTAAAGTATTGTTAGAATTTCTTGTACACCAATTAAATTTTTGTGTAAGCTCGATTATCACTGTGTTCTTGTATTTAGTGTCCAAAACAAAGATAAGAGATAACCTTGAATTAACAAGTTTTGAATCCGTTTTTTTTTGTTTTTCATATATAAGCTGTTCCAAAAATCAGCAGTGAAATAAAACTTTACTAACTCTTCAATGATGTACCTAAGCTTTTCATCATTTCGTAGGATATTCTCAAAAGTTTTATTCTATATGCTATCATTCATAAATAGTGTTTCAAATGAGCACGATAAACGCTAAGGCATGAAACCATATGTTTCGAAATATATGTAAAAATCCAATACATAAAACTTGTTCTAAGATCACTGTGATCTCATCATCTATTCTTATTCATCTATCAACAAGAACTTTTACATAGATTTTAATGAAAAATAACGTGTTGACAGATAAATAAGAATCGATGAGGAGATCGTAGTAATCTTGGAACAAGCATTATATACTGGTTTCCTACATATATTTGGAAACATATGGTTCCATGCCTTAAAATAAATATCGATCATTTAAAACAATAGATATGTGTGAAATCATATTGGATTAAATTTCCGAAAATATTCTATGAAATGATGAAAAACTTTAAGAGATTGCTATCATAGTGTTAATTTCTTTTTGTAATCAAGATTCCTTCTCAAACAATCAACTGTTAAGATCTTGAACGTTGATTTGAAATCGCTAATATATTAGAAGATAATATTATAAAAATGCACAACCTTATAGATTTAAATCGGAATCAGTAAGTGCTAATGAGCTTAAGTCATCAAATAGTCATTGATACGTTTAGATGACATATCCAACTCAGTCCAAGATAATATTCATTGAATGCAAAATCTTGAATACATAACATATTATTTAACTATGAGTTTAAATTTATCACACTATTGTTTATGATCATGTTATAAGATTAATCCTCAAGTGATTAGTTTCAATACTTTTTGTTGATTTGATCAAATATTGAAAGGATCTGATAAAAAAAATCATCAATTCTTCTTTATTATAGGAACATTATAAGATGAAAGTATCTTAGCACAGTATACGACTATTTGAAGATCTTGTCTCCTTTGTACACTAAAAACTTAAGAAATCTCAGAGTTTACTGGGCTCTCTTGATAAAAAAAAAACAATTGGACAACTAATGTAAACTTAGCAAATACATAAAATATAAACAAGATGTCTCAACAATAATTTAACTACGTTTCTAATTGATTCATGTTCTGCTGGGTTCATTTTAATTCAAGGTGATGTAAATATCATTTGCATATTCCTGATTGAATTGTACAACATATTTTTAGCAAAAAGAATAATACATGACTAATTGTTTACCTTTAAATTGTCAAGTAAAATAACACAATACCTTGAATGGATAGGATACATGAATAAAAAAGCACTCATTCATAGTTAATATGATTCACGCTTGTTCTCTTGTTCACATATATATATTTAGTCATCAGAAAAAAAAAGAATACAATTTTTATCAATACACAACGATGTATATGAACAGTATTACGTAAGACTGAATCATACTGAGTATGATTGAGTGTTTTTTTTTGTAGGGAAATAGAAACTAGAACTATGACCACGAAAAAATAAACTTCAAGAAAGTTCAACAACAAAAAGTTAAACATGTAAAAAGAATTAAATTAAATAAGTAATATATTAAAAGATCAATGAATATATCAAAGACTGAAACGAATAAAAACATTTTTATTTCGATTCCTATTGATTCAATTGCCGAGGGATTCTCCTCAAATGCTTCCATTGTGGTTTCAATAATTTTTCCTCTAAAGATGCTACATAGTATTCGAGTGTAAACCCTAAAATGATTTGATTTTGTATTCAAAATTGGCGAAAGTATTGAATCCTTAAGTCTCTTTGTCAACGGTATCAGGTTTTCAGAACGATCGTGTTTATGAATTTTGTCGTGAGATTATTGCCATTTGAACATCTTATATACTGTAGCTTATATGAACAGTTTTAGAGTTTGTAGACTTGACGTCTCAGATGTACAAAGATTTCGAAATATTTCTGTATGAATCACTAGACTTCGAGAAGTGTCTTGCTTTTTGACCAGCTCATAGCTCTGAGATACGAGGTCTGAAAACTATAAAATTCATCATACCTGCTACTGTACATAACATCTTCGAGTGCAGATCGCTTCAAGACAGAATTCAAAGCACGATTTTTGTAAGAACTTGGGATCGCTGACACATAGGCATATTAATAATTCGATATCTTCACCAAGTCTCAATAATAAATCAAATCCGTTCGGAGTTTTCATTATAATACTAAACCGTATCCATCAACATTGAAATTACGTGACACCATGTGAAAAATTTTCATCTAAGTTGAATTGAATCGAATCGAATTATTCATTTATTCAAGTTCGATTTTGGCCTTTAGAAAATATTTGCTGAGAAGATCAGCTATTCAAATTTGAATAAGAAAGCATGACAAATGTGACCTTCTTTTAGTTAACAATCATAATGAGCGAAAACAAAACAATAACTCACTGTTACAAATGCATAACAGAAAATTTTTCTATCTAGAGTTTTTAATTCTTCAACCAATAACTATCGAGATTTTTTTTTTAAAACTTTCCAATAAATTCTTACGTATTTTAAGATAAAGTCTCACATAATTCCTCAATAGATAAAACTTGATTCAGTTATTTTTGATAGTTTTGTGAAGCTTGCTGTATTTATGCAAAACATCGGGGTTTTTTTTTATTTTGATATAGTTGGATAGAGCATCAATTACTCTATCGAATTATATAGTTTTTATTTTATTTATTTTATATCTTGTCTAAAAATTTGATAAACCTCAAAAAGTAGCCAAAAACGTTTTTTTTCTACCTAGCAATTTTCAGATCATTTCTCAGGTAAATTTTTTGATGATTATTATTCACTGCGGTACTGAAACTTATTATTTTCATATAGAATAGTAGGCCAATCGTTTCTATATCGAACTACATATTTTTCGATGGACTTATTCTATATTTCTAGTATAAACATAGTGAATTTCTCAGAAAATTTTTCGAGAACGTTTTTTGCATACATGGTTTTCCCTCTTTTTTCAGAGAAATTTTGGTCTTTTGAACATGTAATCGTCTTTTTGTTGACATGTAGCTGAAAAGAGCGTTGATTTCTCTATCAATCTACGTAGTTTTGATTAGATTTATGTCGCGTCTTACTAGTGAATTTTTTCGAAAAGTAAAACAAATTTGGTTTTTCACTAATATAGAAATGAGCCAAAATTTAACAGTGAAAATTAATTTTCGCGTCAATCTCGAATCTGTTTTATTTAATATTTTTTGCATGAGGAAGTGAGACGGATCTCTTTCATTTAAAGTGATTTTCATTATTATCAGGCTTATTGTTGTTGAAATATGCGCATGCAAAAGTTGCGTTTCAGCGCTTTTAGGATTTTATCAATTTTTCGGACAAGATATAAAATAAATAAAATAAAAACTATATAATTCGATACAGTAATTGATGCTCTATCCAACTATATTACAATAAGAAGAACCGATGTTTTGCATAAATACAGCAAACATCACAAAACTCTCGAAAATAACTTAATCAAGTTGTATATGCTTACCTATAGTATGTGCCACTGAATTATTAACATGATAAATAAATGGTCAATAAATAAATCCTGTAGAAAAAATAAGCCCAAAAAAAAAAGAAAGCGCAATAGCCTCTCTTTCCAATATAGGAGTAATATCAATACACAGAACAACAAAACAAAAAACATGTATAGTATTACAACAGTTATTCATAAATATTTCGAAATAAATTTTCTATTTACTTTAGTTTTTATACTTGCTTTACTTTTCATCGCTGACCGTTCTCATGATTAATTTACCTCATGTTTAGTTTCTTGTGGTCATCATTCTGGTTTCCGAGAAAAAACACTTAACCACAATAGGTATGATTCATTCTTGCATAACATAGTACATGTACATCGTTCTGCATAGGAAAAAAATTGAATTTTTTTTTATTTCGGATGACTAAACGTGTATGAACAAAAGAATATCAATATGAATCATACCCGACTATGAATGAGTGCTTTTTAATTCATCTTCTGTATATATTCAAGGTTATGTTATTTTATCTGCCAGTTAAATGTAAAAAAATAAAACACATCTGACTTTTTCATAAAAAATATCGTATTATACACAAAATCATTCGTTAACGGCATGACTTTGTAAAATTAAAACGCGTGTATCTCACGATCATAAACTTTTCTAGAGCTAATTTTTAAAATGTTACATTGATATTAAATTACTTTATACACCAAGAAAAAGTCAGTGCTAGCGACTTTTATTTAGAAGAGTTATCAGTAAAAGTCTAGTGTCAATAACTTGACACAAAAGAGAACATAGGCTTTCACTTCATATATTTCAGTCTGAAGAAAGCTTTGAAGTGAAACAAAACTAAATAATATATTCTGTAGACGACTTCTAAAACTCCCACATCTCTATGCAAAGCTTTTTCTCATAATACATAAATTTTTCAAAAATAACCGATTTTCTTTTCGTTAGTGACGTGACAGAGTACTGGTATACAAACGAAAAAATGTTCTAATAGCTGAATGAAAAGTTCAACATCAATTCCAAACAATAAAAATCCTTCTTCAGAATCTCTAGATGATGATACGATAAAGATTTCTGTTTTGGGATTTGATAGAATCTCTCAAAAACCAAGTTTTCATGAGAAATTTTTTTAAAGATGGATATGTCCGGTTTTGCTTGCAACAACTCATATATATTTCAATTAGGAAGATATAAAGTATTTACATTAACTTGAATTAAAATGAAACTAGCAGATAATACACAGGAAGATCAAAAAGTTCTGAGAATTTTACAAAGGAGCGTGTTTGATTTGGTGATCTATGCAGAATGAAAAAAAAAACAAAACATGCCGTGTTGTAGAGCAAGTCAAGGCGCATCGAATGGTACATAAATTTTTTTTTCATAAGATTTTGAGGGAATCAGACTGGATTTACTGGTAGGCGATCATCGAGTGATAGCACTGGCCATTGTGGGCCTTTGTATCAGTCGAAAAAGCTTGTAAAAATAATTTTCCTGTATACAGTTTTGTAGCACTTTTCAGGGGCTACAAGCTCATATACTCAGCATCTCATATCGTCCTATATTTGATAGGGAAAAATGCGACTTTTTGATGATCCACCATCGTTTTCCATGGGTAGTGACTGTTGGTGAGTCTTTGAATCCATGGGCGTCTACCAGTAAATCCAGTCTGGTTCCCTCAAAATCTTATGAAAACAAGATTTGTGATATATCATTCGACGCGCCTCGACTTTCTCTACAACATGGTGTGTTTGGGTTTCTAATTCTGGATAGGTTACCAAACTCGACATAGTTCTTTTTAAAATTCTCAGAACTTTTTGATCCACCTAGAAAATCGATCATAAGTTTAATTAAATATATTGAAAAGTAGTGTAAGTTAGCTAAGCATTGTTATTGGATTGTTTTTTTTCTCTCAAGAAAGTACAGCCAATTTTGAGATTTCTAAAGTTTTTGGTTCACAAAAGAGACAAGATCTCACAGTAGTTATATATTAAGGTTCCGTGTGAGATAGGATTAGATGGAAAATTTTCCGTTCCATCTCATCCTATCCCATGGGACTTCACACTCATCAAATATGTTTTAAAAATTTTTTGCACACATAGACCACTTCTAAAAATACTACCAAATTCTACGTCATTGGATTTTGACCTTCATAGTTTTATCGTAATCAAGTTCACATTTCTGTTACTTTTGTTCACAATAGAATAACATGTGTCATTCTTTCTATGAATGTAAACTGTTGCTAATTTTCTTTGACTTCCATCATTACCTACCGACGAAAATTTTTCTCTTGTACTAGATGATAACTTTTGAGCATAACTATCTACGTTGAATATTCGTGTACGATAACTCGATGTAAATGCATATGACTGAACACATGATTGACAATTGGCAAAGCCTGGGATTTGTTCATGTTCTTCTTTTATATGGGATTTCTTGCCTGGAAAACCCAAAAGTCGCCAACACATTGAACATAACTTATGCCTTGTATTTTTGATGACTGTACGATTCGATGGATCTTTTTTCAGTAAGCGAATAACTCGTTCACTTTTAAATCCATGAGCAGCTGATAGATAATTAACAATAGAAGAAGAAGCAGTTGTCAAACTTATTGCATCAAGTTGATCAGATTGATATTTGGCAACAGATGACGAATCATCGGATAACATACTATCGATTACAAATAAAAGCAAAATCAAAACATTTGTTACTATTACAACATGTCAAACTACTTTATTACTTTACAAATGATTTAGTTGTTAATTGTTTTATCGTATCGTACTGTTTACATTTAAAAAAAAAACATTTATATCTCACTTGTTTTGCTCAAATAGATTAGAAAGATATCTTTTTCAAAACGGTTGGGCTGTTCTTAATAAAAAAAAATTCAGCAAAAGACGTTTCTTCCTTGGGATATTTGTTGCATCCCACGGAACTGATAGGATGGGATTGCTTCGCCCCACACAGAGTTCTGTTGTATATAGTTGAGTCACTGTCATTTTATTATGTTGTGACAGTAAGAGAAAATTGATTACTTTCTAACGGATCCTTTCATCAGAACTATCAGCTCCAGAATATAATACAATCAAGGTGACGCTTTCATTTCATCTTTTTGTTTTTTTTGGTCAACAATCTATAGGTAATATCTTTATATAATTTGCTTTTTTTTTTTATACATGATATTCTTACAACATAAACGATTATCATTATATATTTTCGACGAGGGTAGAACAAGGTCAAGAAGAAAAATTTAAATTGCTATATTTAATATAATAAAAAATACAATAATATATTATCATCATTAATTGTCTTCTCTTTCTAATTGTTCTTGATTCGAATTATTCATTTGTTGTTGTTGATCATCATCATCTAAAATGACACTTGTCGGAGAATTTAATACTATGATTAAAAAAATAAAATAATTATTGTTTAATATTTTAAACAATATTCACTTGTAGTTGTTTGTTGTTTTTTAGGTTTTTGATCATCATGAGAATTTTTTCGTTTCATAGATGATGATGATGATGCTTGTATTTGTAATTCATTAATATCATCATCGTCATCATCTTCAGACAAAACAATTAGACTAGGAGGAGTTCTTTCAATATTTGGTTCAACATATTCAACTATTTCACATTCAGGTGATGATGATCGTTCTTCAGATTCGATTGTTGTTGTTTGTGGTGAAGAAACAATATCAATCTAAAATATTTTAATTTAATAAATACAATAGAATTTTGTTTTTAATTAAAAATCTTACAGTATCAATTGCTAATATATCAGGAGTTTCATCAAGTATAATTGGTGAATGTTCATCTCCATTATTATCATCATCTAATGAGATTTCTAACGGTGGTATGACTAATGATGATGAATTCAATGTTGGATATTGTGCATGACGATCAAAACCAGCTAAATCATATGGACAACGTGCAAATGTATAAAATTCATGTATAAAATGTTTTGTATAACGTCCAAGATATTCATTTAATTTTCTTGCTAAATAATTTGAACGTATATGATGTAATTGTATAGTTGTTAAAATTTCTCGTATTATATGTTCAATTGTTCGTTCATCATTGGATAATAAAGCTAATAATTCACGTGCTAAAAATGGTACAAGACGATGAAGACAAGCTTGATTTGATGCATACCATGTTGGTGAACATTCTCGTATAGTTAATGTATCATGATTATGTCCAAGTAATGGACTATGAACAAATAAACGATTGATATAAATATATTTACGAAATGCAACTGTTTGTCGTGTTGATTGTGAATAAATTGTTGATTGTTGTAATTCTGATGTTGTTTGACGTACATAACGATGAAGCAGATGACGTATTGAATCACGAGAAATAATACTTAATCGAGATGATGATGGATTTACTGAACGAACTACTGATGAATGAGAAGAATTTCTTGAATTGTTACTGAAAAAAAGAAACATAAAAAAATTAAAAAAGAATTATTGTAATATATATTATATTTAAATATTTTACTTTGGTCGACGAACAATAGATTCTAATGTATTTAACCATTCAACATAAATCATTTGTCGAAATATATCATTACGTCTGTGATCATTTGAATTGTCTGATCTTTGACGACGATTATCAAACCAATTAAGAACATCATTAAAACTACTAAGTGCTGGTGGTGGTAATGTTGATCGTCGTGATGTTTGTACACGAATTTCTTCAACTACTTCACCAGAATAACGTTCACGTGTTATTAAACTAAATGGTTGTTTACATAATGGACATATAGCACGAACTTTTGACCATTCAAGTATACAAGGAAAACAAAATGTATGTGAACAAGAATCAATTCGAGCAATAATATCTGTTTGTTTATTATTTAAACAAACAGCACATTTATCTGGTGTCGGAGGACGAACAGCAACAAGTGCAAGTAATGTTTCTTGATCTAAATTTGTTGAACTTGTTGGTAATTGATCAGTCGCAGTTGTTTGCTCATCGACACTCATGACAAAAATGAAATATCTGAATAAGAAAAAAAACTATGATGACGACAATTGAGGAAAAATGTCGTACTGATTTATATGTTTCGAAAAAAGAGTGTACTAATAGAACTAATGACTCAATAAACTAACAAATCAAAATAAAATTACCAAATAGAGTGGAACATTCCCACAGTGCTACTCTCACTGCATTTCTACATGTAATACAGCGCTTTCATTATGAATTACATCATTCTGTGATTGAACAAGAAATAATGAAACATTTATGTTAGATGTCGCTAGTTGTCAGACAAAATATTTTAATTGTTTACCAAGGTTAAATAGTTAACAAATCAATGATGTATATTTTAGATTGATCTATTTCATTCAGGGTGTACCGAGGTTATCAAGATCGGCGGAGAGGAGAAGTGACTATTGAGTATGTACAATTCACGACATCAGAGGCGGGATCGATCGTTGTTACAGAGATTGATAAACAAAAACAACGAAGAAAATCGTTCAGTTTCGCTGAAGAAAAATAATGAATTCTCCATCATTGGAAGAAGAGGATCGTTTCGAATCTCCTTCTCCACTTAGGAAATACCTAATTGAACTGTTTATATTAGTTGTGTGTTTCATGATTTGCTACTCTTATTTATTTGTTTTATAAGAAATAAAAATTATTTTAATAAAAACCAAAATGATTTTTGTTTAGAATACTGGACTGATTTAACTTTTTCAAGTAACAGTTGTGGCAGAAGAAATTTCTCATTTTTTCTTAGATTGTCTTCATGGATTCGACTGCATCATAAAATTTCGTTCTGATGTTAACAGGTAGAGAATTTTGCATGGATCTTATTTATATATTCTGTTCAATATAATTGCATTCATTTTTTTCTTCTAACATTAAAGATATTATTACAAAGGCTATTTGAATACAGTATGAAAAATAAGAGAAACATATCTATTTTTAAGGCATATTATCAAGTTTTCGAATAAAACTTTATCATTTAAAGCACTGCTTGCAAAAAATATCGAATTATCAATATTAGGCAACCTTTTTATGTTCAGGAAAAGAATTCAACCTCATCAGTGGGTTGCAAAAGTATTTCACCCATTATAGTGAACATTATTTTGTAGATCTTGAAACTTTGCATATATTGACAGAAAAAGGAATAGTTTGTGCAAATTCAATTTTCGAGAAAATTGTCGACGACAAGCATAATTCCGTTGACCGATACTGTTTTGTATGTTTTAGAAAGGAACAACTACGCTTATTAAATGCCAAACTAACTGCTAGATATACTGAAAAATTTAATAACTCTTAGGATCAAAAATAAATTTCAAAAATATCAACTAACTATTCAAAAATTGATGTTCACAATTGTCTTATTTTGTAGTTGAGTAAATGATGTTTTTATGGTCTTCAGTACTTTTAGTACTACAAGAGACGAACAGATGCTCATTTTGAAACGAACATATCAATCAAATCAACACAAAATTCATGACTTATTAAGGGTCACAATGAACCTTACTGATCCAGTCTAATTTGACATAAAAAACATTCTAGCAAAAATCAGATCTTGCTTCTACTACACCCGTTATATTTATTGAGTTTTTCGTTAAAGAAAGTTATATATGTAATTTTTTTTCTACGATATACACTTGAATAGAGTATCGTTTTTTTTTTCTCTCGATTGGTTTTATAATTTTCATTAGATATTTACGTAGAGTTTTTATTTGTGAAAGTTAATATAAACTTGATTCTTTATTAACAAGTACAAAAATGAGACAAATTCTAACAGGAAAATTCAATTTTCTGTTCAATTTCAAATCAGTTGTACTCTGTATTTTCTACACACTTAATTAAGTTTGATAGGTCTCTTTCATCGAAATGAATTTTTATCATTAATGATTTTGTTATGATTAAAATACAAGCATGCAGAAAAATCGTTCCAGTGCTTCTTAGAATTGATCGAATTATGAAATAACATTAAAAAAAAAATAAAATGAAAACTATATGTTTTGACAGAACAATTGATGCTCTATCTAATTGTATTAAAAATGAGAAACATTTCGTGGTTTTGTATGAACACACCGAGTAAATAAGACCATGAAAAAAAACAGAATTAATTAGATTGTCTTTTTTTATCGAAGAAAGAAAAAGTTTATATTTAGCATGTCTAAATTGTTTATTTGCCATTTCGATCACCTACCCATGTGCCTGATGAGCCAGAACCTGGTGAGCGTTCACTTACACATTTTCCTGTATTTTTATGACATACATAACCAGAACAACATGATTTAGAAAATATGCCTGAACATTTTTCATAAAGTCCAGCACATCTAAATAATCAAGATATATAAATGAATAATATACATTTTTTTAAAATAAGTTTAACATATTTTAAATTAAAATATTATATACCTTTTTTCATAATGCCTCAAATGTCGTGCTCGAACATAAGCACAATTTGCAACAATCAATAGAACGAGTAAACAAGCACAAAAGCCAACGTTAGCTACCATTTTTGCTTTTGCAATATGTATGAAGAAAAAAAATGTTATTACAGCTTTTATATAACAGCATATACTACAAGATTTTAATACCAAAAAAAATGCACCTTGATGTAAATGTATTCATATTAGCAAAAAGACTATTATGTATGAATTGTATAAATATGTGTACTTTGTCAAATGAAAAAAGAAAAAAGAAATTGCAAGCTCTATTATAAAATCCTACTGCCTTCACGAGTATGAATATTCGAATGAAAAAAATAGCATGACGTTTCATTTGAAGTAAAATGACAATAAAGCGATATGACTTTATATGATAGATGAATTGGTGTACTTTTTATCAATTGATTATTCGTTTTAAGTTTATTGTTTTTACTCTGTATTTAGAAAACGAGAAGTTTTTTACAATTAGAAATTTTTCTCTTCAATTATGAATGAAATTTCTACGTTTTTTTTTCATATACATACTTAGAAAGGAAATGTAAAGTTTTACAAAATATTATTTGTAACATGAATATTTTATGGTATCAGAAGTTTTAGCTGCTGTGATACCAGAGAAAAAGAAGTGCATTGTATTATTGATAGATTTCATAAATATTTAACAAGGCCTACAAGAATAGATTGTTTTTATTTTTCAATATTGTGAGATTACAGCAAGAACTGTAATTCTAGTTTAGAATCGATTATATTGAATGTACTCCAAACGACTTTGATAGACATTATACAATCGAAGAAACTTTTGAAAGTTTCAACTAGAAAACAAAAAAATTTTATTGAGTTCATGAATTAGCTTGATTTCTCATTATTCATCTAATATATTTGTCTTCAGTCAGCCATGTTAAAAGAACTCAATACGATTCAGTCTTGATGAGCAGTTTGATAAAACTATATTGAGTGGAGTATTACTGATATAAAATGATCGAATTATTGATTATAATTTCGTACGTTTGTGTTAATCGAAAGTGTCCTATATTTTTCATACAGCGATATTTTTAGAAATACGTTCGTAAATTCCAAATACACAAGTTTTCAGCATGAAATTAAGTTATGAATATTCTTATTTACTTCAAAGTTTTTAACTTTTGTTTTTCATTGCAATCATATGAAAATGTCACAAAAAGTCGTATATAATTATTTTCTTAGTCTTTTCGTTTTATTGCAAGTCAATTGTATAGATTATTTTTTTTTCATATATAAGTTATTGATCAATATACACATTTCGGTAATAAGAAGCAATATAAACAATTTAGTACAAGATACACAAAATTAAACATGATGATCTATACATCTTTTTTCTTTCTAGGCAGTATATAGGTAACTTTCGTATGCATGATGATTGTTATCTTTACAGATTGATATTAATCATAATTTGAATATTTGTAAGGTTATAGTTTTTTCTTTCTATTAGATTTCGTTTTTCATTTTCTTTTATCAGAGAACATTGCAGAAATAAGTCATAAAAAATCTATGATCAAAAAAAGATGTTTTCCAGTTTATTCGACATTTACAGTATGAAAACAACATCTTGTGTTTTACTTAATAACTTCTTTGTTTTCCTTTGATTGAAAATATGTATTAATAGTTGTTTTCTAACTTTAGATATATCTGAAATGGCTTTCAATAATAGAAAACTATGTGGATCAGAAGATTCAGAAAATACCATTTTTTCAGAAATTGCACCAATGTCTGAAGAGTTTATCGATTTTTCAATAACTACAATAGAAAATCAAGATAAATCTATTTGTGAACAAGTTTTTGAAAAATTTGAACATTTTAAACAAGAAGCAACAATATTATCAAATTCTGAAAGTATGACACAAAGGTTAAATGAATCTATATCTCTTTGGAATTAATTATTGAACATGGCAAATAATGTTAACAAGAAAAATAAATATTGTTTTGATGCAAATCGTGCTCTAGTTACAAAAGTATTTGCTGATATGAATGAAACTGATTTATTTTATAATGATAATGATTTTTTACGACAAATATACTTTAGCTATTTAGATCTTCTTAATACAAATGAAATTCAACAATTTTTGACAGCATTAGCACCGTCTACATTAGCAGACTCTATACGTGAATCGAATATTTATATATTACTTTTTATTTTATCAACAGTATGTCGTTCTGTACTCTTTTTTGACAATGATATTGCGGATCAGTATAATCCTTTGTTGAAAGCTATGCAAGTTCATATTGATCAGAAACTTCAAAATACGGCTTTGCTTCAAAATACGAATGAAAGACTTACTACTGTACATCAACGTATATTATTGTTGCTATGCTATTTAAACGATCGTACGGTACTTGTTCCATCTCTCTTACGTGCTGGCTTTGGTAAAAGTGTTATTGAATGGTTAAACTATCCAACATTTAAATATCAATATAGAAACATTGATAGCTAGGTATTTTTGATTTCTCGAGAAATCTTATGCAATTATTTTAATTCAAACTGCCCTTTTAACGTTCTGGTAAAATACAAAAGCAAATAGTGCGGCTTATTGACTGAAATTCAAAGTAAGCTACTACCATACTTTCATGCTTCTCTTCGACATGTGCAATCTAAAGTTCTGTTAGACTTCTTGTTATAATAATCAGACAACATGTACAAATAAATTCTTACAATCCCTACATTTATTCCGTTGATAACATAATCTTTTCTGTTCGAAAACTTCTATAGAACAGCAAAATTTATTTTTTGTGTTCCCCCCATGAATGATCTCCAACGAGAGTTTACTATAAAGTCATCATGGAATTAATTTCAGATGTGGCAATCTTTGACGACCTCAAGTACCAGATTTCATCATCGATCTAATTTATCTCTCATATGGTATCACCAGTTCATACAGCCGCAAAACTTGTGCATAAAATTTTAATTTTTCTTTTTCACCCAGCATCAAACATCATCACCAATCTCAAACATAGACTTCAATCATCAGTAAATGAATTTTATACCTGGTGCAATTCGTGGAAACTAAGAATTCAACCCAGCAAGACTCAGTTGTTGTACTTTAGTCCGCATCCACGGAAAAAGTATTAAAAACAAAATAACAATTGAGGTTGAAAACACAATCATTAAACCTATAACATCAGCAAGATATCTGGGTATTATTTTTGATCATGAAGTAAACTGGAGGAGTCACATCCATCATATTGAAACCAAAGTAGTACCACGAATAAGTGTGCTCCGATTTCTATCTAAACTAAACTTAACATTGAACAACAACATAATAATAAATCTATTTAAATCTCTAGTCAGATCAATTATTACTTATGGTTCCTCGGTTCTCTTGATGGCAGACGAAAAGATCTGGAAACGTATACAAATTATCCAAAATAAGGCTCTACGGGCAGCATTGGGACTTCTCGCATACACAACATCACCAATATTCCCACAATCAAAAAATACTCAACATTCCTTCTTCAGCAGGCAATTGCAAGAGCAAAAAATTACAATGACACTACTTCAAATGAAAATTTATCACATATTCTAGCCAACCTTTATGCTAGTTGAACTCATCTTCCCTTGATTGGGACAAAAGACTCAAGTCAGGAGCCCTATCACTCTCTCATCCCCTCAAATTTTTCCGTTGTTCCTTTTCCATTTTTAAATTCTGTCTTCTTTTTCCATTTTCTATCTATACTTGTAGATTTTTTTACACCATAAATAAATCGTTGAAACCTCATAAGAAAGACTATGACCATTGATGGAATTCCATAAAGCATTGACTATGCATTTCACTTCAACCTAAATCAATTGAATATAATTTACTTGGATTCGGTAATTTAAACAAGAAGGACAAAAAAAATCAATTGAAAATAATCAGATCTCCAATTAAATCCAATGTAGATATTCAATGCTTGAATCGATCATCTTATGCAACATTTGAAAATAGCTTGGGTGTGATACTCATAAAAATTTAATCATCTTATTCGAAGCAACAACCTCCAAAATATACTTCGTCAGTGATATTCTACCTGATCTATCAAGTAAAGATGATAAATACACGAATTCTATGAAAAAACTCAGCCGTAAATTGTGTCAATTAGAACGACAGATTTATTATTTATCATTTTACCATTCGATTCCACTTAATCAGTTTTTTTGCTGGTCTCGTCCTATTTGAATTATATCGCGATATATCGATTAATTCCTATGAATAACTAAAGAAGATAATGTTGTCGGAAATTAGTCGTGGCTATGGGCCTTTATTATTTCGATTATTTAAAATGGACCAGTTTCTTATAACATGCCAGACATTTGAATGTTATACGCCAAACATGTTTTTTTTTCTAAATATTAGGTTTATTAATAAAACTCTTTCTATTTCTGTTTTTTCGTTTCATTGATAACTGTGACGTTTCGATCTCGGCGAATTTCTCATCAGAAAGTAGCTAAATACAGTTAACAAACAAATAGTGAATACTTGACAACATGTTTTGCCTATTGATTTCTTTTTATCTGCTACTTTATTTTATTTTTTGAAAACAAAATACATTCTAACGAGACAACGACTCGAAATGATAGCCTTCGTTTTAACCCATTTATATCTCAATAGATAGCATGTATCGAGATAGTAAAAGAATTGAGAGGATTTTCTCCGTGGTTTTTTCTTTAAAAGTTATGACCGTTTCATTGAGTTATCGATCCGATCCCAGAAGAGATCGAAACGAATGACAATAAATGAATTTGGATTCGATTCGATTCGATTCGACCCACTTCCAAAAAAATCTTAATCGATTCGATTCGTCTCAATAAAACTCATATTCGATTCGATTCAATTCAATCCGAAAGCCATAAAAGCTCAATTCGATTCGGTTTTGTTTGGTTCTGACATTTTTAAAAAATGCTATAGATATATATATAAAGAAACAATTAAAATAAATACGAGAATCTGGATTATGTATAATTGGTTAACACAACATTCTAATATCTAATATATTGAAGACGATACTGAATATGACTATTAGTCCTAGTACAGTGACACCAATTTTTATCATTTCTATTTGATGTTTAATAGTGAATCTTTGAATGTGTATTGAAATTCTAGTTGGAAAATTTCTAATGAGCACTTATCAAAATCTTATTTTATCATTAATCTACAGATGAGATTGTATAAGAGTTGTAAAAATTAGGACATGTTTTTTTTCGTAAAGAATTAATAATTCATCCAAATTTCATCTAATACGTTATAGTAATTGCTATAAAAAAAAGTATCTCTTTAATTTGAAAAAAAAATATAATATCATATCTTTCTCATTCATATTATTTGATTAAAAGCTTGCACGGAAAAGATTTTTACTCGTGTGGAGAAAAGATATCTAATTGCAATAAACAAGTTCAAATTCTATGGAAGGAATGATAACGTGTTCCTTTCTCTAGAATTAACATCATGCTTAACTCTTTCTCTCATAGCACCATGTTTATAAAATTCCTTTCTATTATACATGTCTCAAGCAACTCGTTTATCAATGATCTATGCATTCATCTGGCATACTAAAATGGCTAGACGTTGATGACTCATGTTATCTTAATTTCTTGTTTTATGTGCGTTGATTTTATTCCTTTCGCTCTCCATACATTACGTGTAATCAACACAATGCCTCTTTAGGTCTCATTATGGATAGAAGATAAAATAAACCACAAATAAACACAGTTCAATTTTTATTCATATATCTTTTGTACAACGATCGACAGCTGACCCAAATAATAAATTACAGTACAACTGATAAAACAATGGAAGACACATGATAACCATATGGGATTAACAAAAAACTAAATATTGACTATATAATATTCTTCTACAATTGTTATGACATTTTAAAAAATGTCAGCAACATTTGAATATTGAATATCAATATAGAATTTATTTTCTATCAAAGAAGGTCATGAATAACAAATAATAATAATAATAATAATACGACTTTCATGATCCATACTGTTGTATGATAATTAATTAGCTAAATTCTTTAGTTCAATATAGTTATTAACAATAATCTTATTGATGATATTTTTCAACGTGTCATTATAACCTTATGAAATGCTTCAGAGTATTTTACATTAAGAAAACATAATATACATGTAAGCCTTGATTGCATTCAGTTGATAGATATACAAATAACAAATAGATGATTGATTTGAAAGATAAATAGTTCTAGAGCTAATCAAATACAATAATTATCTATTGAAAGATATGTTTAGTGTTCTGTTTTTACATCAGTAACAGCTTCATTTAGTTAATTTTATCAAGGATTAATACTTTTTCGTTATACTTTTTTTGGCCTTTTTTTATGCAAGACAATATATCTTGTACTATTTTCTCTGATTTAATCAATATAGGAAATATTTTCTATTCTTCCATATAACTTTAGGCAGATTTTTGATGATATGATGTTTTTCTTAATTGATCATATTTTCAATTAGAGCTATCGGCGAAACTCAAAGATATCTTCAATAGATATTCTAAATAATTATATCAACAGCTGTTGATCTAACAGTAAATATCACATTTTGAAAACAATCAGTTCATATTGCTGGAATGCATGTACGAGATAGTCAATAAATGTTCACAGAAAATCATTGTTTCCTTTTGAAATCAATTTATAATTAAAAAAAACAAAAAAAAAAAAACTTATAACCAAATATAAAGAAAACGATAATTATTCTTATAACGAATAAATTTTTTAAGTTGAATCAACATTGAATGATCCCAATCTTGATCAAGTGCAAAAAGTTCTAGAAACATTAAATATTTCAGATAATAATTATTATTATTTTGTCCAATCATTGTTAATAATATTTTATCAAACGAATGTATTTTATTATCAATAGCAAAACTCATTGAATGTAAATTAGGAAAAATAGGTATTAATATATTTTTTACACAATCAATTGATATACTTTCTGTTAAAGATAACTGTAATTTTTTAATTCTTTTCATATTTTGACGTATTGTATCATTAATTTGACATGATATTAAATGGTTTAATGGTAATGTTAATGAATCTAAATTTGTCATTTTAGTTAATAATTGTACAGCAAAACCATCTGTTATACATGTACCATATAATTCGAAATGTTTTAAGTAAACAAATGATATCGATTGATTTAATAATAAACGTGATTGATGTTCAATTGGTGTTATATTTTCATAAAGACCTAAATAAAATGAATGAACAAGTGGACAACGTATTGTATGTTGTTGTTGATAAAGTATTGTTTGATTTAATATTAAATCGAAATGACGTATACGTGAATATGCATCATGAATATTTCTTACTGAAGGTTTTTTTATATAATTATTTAAATGTAATTTCGTAAATGGTATTGTACATATAATATGTTTATAGGATGTTATTTCATAAATGATTCGAATATTATTTGTACGAAAAAAAATTAAATCTTGAAATTTGTTTGTTATTAACATAAGATCACGTTGTGGATCTATATTTAATGATATATGTAAATCGAAAATTTTTAATCGATTTAATTTATTTATAAATAAATTATTCCAACGTTCCGTATCAATATGTTCATTATCATAGGATGATTCTAAACCTGTTGTATATGTATAAATCAATGATGTTAAATTTGGACATATGTTAAGAAGACTTTCAACACATTTAAATGATATTGAAAATACATTTAATTTTAAATAAGTTAAAAATTTTAAAGACTTTTGAAAGTTTGGTTTTGAATTTATTTTTATTGAAGATTTTCTAGATATATGACATGTTAAATGTTTTAAATAAATCATTGAATTTAATAAAATAAAGAGACTATTTATATCGGATATTTTGAGATTTAGTTCTTCAATAAAATAAATTTTTTCTGAAATATTTGATGATAAAAAATCAATTTGACAATTTGATATTCGACATATACGTAAAGATCTTGATATCAATTCAATCGGTACAACTAAATAATCTGTTGTTTTAATAATTAAAGTTTTTAAAAATGGAAAATAACGAATTAATTTTATTAATTGTTCTATTGTTGGTTCAGTTAAAATTAATGTTTTCACTTGTTCTTGTTGACAATATTTTGATTGTTCAATAAAATATTGAATTCCATCTATAGTTTGTTTATTTGATAATTTTATTGAATAAATTTGTTGACAAAAATTTGGTAAAATATAATGACATGTAAATAAAAATTTTTTTTGTTGTACATATGATAAATCAAGATAAAGATGAATACCATGAATTATAGAATTAAAACGTTGATTTAAATTATAAAATGAATATATTAGATCATAACTTGATATATAATCAAAGATTTCTAAGAAAATTTCATCAGGCATTGATTCCAAATTCATACGATGCATTATTGAGAAGAGAGTAAAGAAAAGAAAAAGATCTAAGTAAAAAGAAATATCTATCTAATCGTACATGCAACTGTTGATTATTTAAAGGTGAACAATGACAGACGATAGATAAACGAAGAAGAGAATAAAAGAAAAGGAACTAGTGGATGGTTACTTTTTGTATTTCTACTCTCACGTTAATATCCTATAGCATGATTACACAAGGTGACGCTATACAATAGGTTGCTAGTTTAGTTATGTAATGCTTACTGAATAGTTTACTATACTCTTTCTTTTTTTTCTCTTGTACCATTGTTTGAACAAACAAAACCCGTCTTTTTGCGGTCACTGCTACAGATAAAGTGTCAGCATATGTAGAAACTAATGTCCTTGTCAATATCAAATACATGTATCAAGAATACAAAGAAAGAAAATAGATACACATCAGACATATTGCCGAGTAAGGCAGAAACAAAAAAAAGACATGATATGTTGTCGATGATAAAGTGTGTAATTAACCCTGACACGCATACTTCGAATAACATATCCCTGCCGATCTTGACACGCTACCGAGAAAAAGATGATGAGATTTTAGAATAATTAATTTTGTTTTGGCCAAAAAAGAAAGAAACATTAGATTTTTATGATTAGTTTCGAATCAATAAGAATGAAGATATCATAAAAACGATTATATATAGGTAAATAATAAGAAATTAGAAATGATAAAAGAATAAAAAGATGAATCAATAACATTATAACGCCTTGTTCATACATATCAATATTGATCTAATATGTCACAAACAAAAACAAAACACAATACTAAATGATTACAATGACACTTGTGAATTTAGGATTGTTCAAAAATAATTAATATAATTATTTTACTTGGGTAAAGACGAACAAAATTTTTATTAAGACAGTTTCATATGTCGAAAATTCCGAGTACAATATAATACATAAGTTTTTAGAACATATGTGTCAGATTTTGAAATGTTGTGATGTTTAGAAACTAAGACTCTTGTCTTTTATCCTTTACTAACAAGCATGACAAATATGAAAAAAGCTTTTACCTAATGAAATTGATTGAAATACATTCAATAGTGAATCAAGAATTTTATGATGGAAGACGATCATAACCATAAAACGTGTTTTGAAACTCATTAAAGTTAGTATCAGCTTATTTTTAAGCTTTCGCTGCTAGGAAAAATCGAGACGAACTTTTTTTGGAGGGAAAGTGAGCAGTTTCTCGGCACCTTGCTCTAAACTCACCACTGTTTTTATGTAGTCATATGATTTGATGGTTCTTTTTTCAACATTATTAGTTGTAATTTAGAAAATGGTTTTTTTGTCGAATTCTTGTGCTCTATTTTGTTTCCTCTTTGGTATTAATCCGTGCAAATCCCTTCCTTCCCAATTATATATACATATATATATATATATATATATGCATAGATATCATGTTCAAATAGAACCGCAACATATTTCGATGAATTGTTTCTCTCATACCGATATTTTTCCATATTCGTAGAGAGGTTATTATGTGAGAAAAAAAAAAGATAAATTCTCGTTCCGTCTTTTGTTAATAACCACTTGTTTCAGCTGGTCTTATATCACTCGAACGAGGACGATTTTCTGTTTACAAAATATAGTTTAAGAATACATCCGTTCGCCAATCAAAATCTTCTCACTTCATGTTAATATTCAATATGTGAGTCTTGAAAAGAGACAAAGCTTAATGTTTATAAAAGAATTCGATCGAATTCTTTTTATTATCTGATTAAACAATAATATAAATCAACGAAAAATTCTAGTCTAAATAGTCTGTTATTTGATACAAAAGTAGAGTTTGATGTTTTCTTACAACAGGCATGATTCTTTTAAATGTAAGTATTAAACTATATCCAAATGGATTAATACGAGTCATTATGTCATCTAATAAATCTTTTATTATATTGAAAGTATTCTTTTTCATATTCTTGATCTTTACTATTCTGTAAAATTTGTGATATTTCAAACAAATCTTTGTAATAGATTTTTTTTAAGCAAATGCAACTTTAGTTTTTAATAAAATATGCTCAGTTTTACTCAAATGAAAATCAATAATAAGAAGAATACGATTAAGTATCAAATGAAAATAAGCTCGAATGATTAATACTATGAAATCAACCAATGAAAATGTCTCATAATAATATTATTCGTTTAAAAAACAACCAAAATAGAAAAATGGCAAGGTCTGCATAATCTAGTCAATATAATAAAAATTTATTTGTCACTCAATCTTGTTTTTCATGTTTCATTTTTTTTTTTATCGAGATCAATGACATAAGATCTGCCTGCTGAATAAAACAAAAAAGTGACCGATCGATTCAATTTAAATTAGCATTTTGTCAATAGGTAACTAAATCTCACTAAAAAAATGTGAGCGACAGCGGCAATTTCCTTGATACGCTCATTACACTTTGTTCTTCTAGTCACATGAGAAATTTGATCTTTGTCATATGTTGATCAATATTAATTGTGCTCTATGATACTTTCAATAAATAAAATATCGAACAAAATTAATTAACTAAAATCAAAAAAAAATAAAAACCAGTAAATTCATTCTTCAAATCTTTTAGTTACTTCAACCGATAGAAAATATTTGTTTGTGAATATTATGTATGTGTATCGGTAAAAGAAAAAGAAAGGAAGGAGAGCTCAAGGTTTTAGTCTAAAGCCGCACGCAAGTACACACGAACGATGGTGAAGGATTACGACCATCATCACCATACTGTATTAGCATTCAGATTTAGTGGTCGATAGTGAAGCTCACACACGTATATATATCTATATTTCCCACTCAACAATAGCAACAATTTGATTGACTTGCATACGTATTTGGTAAGTTATTTTAAATTTGTTTTTTTTTTTTTTATTACCAATCAAGAGAAAATTTCCTTGTGAAAATCAATTTGCATTAACTATATAGATCGACAGACGGAAACTTAAAATGTCTATGCAATACTCATTTGCATAATAATCATTATTAAATGAAAAGAATTCTTTTTTTTTTCTTCGTTTTTTTTTAAAGAATATTTTGAAAAAAATAGACGAATGAGTCGTTTCTTTTGTTTCTTTTTGTTGAATATCGAGTGACATCCAATCTCAATATTCATGATAGATGAAAAACAACATAGGTGTAGATGTGCACGTCTGGTCATAGAACGAACAAGCGACCGAAACAATTCAACATTTGCCCAATGCTTAGCAGGGCAAGGGATTAGTGCACGTAATGAAAAAAAAGAGAGAGGCAAACGAGAATGATGCGCGCTGTTATTATTCTCGTCTCTGATATACTTCGCCCCCCTCTCACCATTCTCCTATCCTCCTCTTCTTTTTTTCCATTATGACACCCATACTAAGTCAATAGTAATGTGTAAACCAATAGGAGAAAAATACAACGGAAATAATTCCGTTTTATCGATGAAGGGAAAATTAAATAAATCAACAGAAAATATTCACTGTGACATATTTTTTATTGAGAAAACGGAAATGAACATTTCTCTCTTCTCACATTGGTATGAGTATATCCAAAATCAATCTTTAATTTTTTTTTTTTTTTGTTTAATTTTTTTTCGTTTTATATGCACCAAATAAACGCATGTGCAAGAGAGAGAAACATTGGTCAAAAAAAAAGGCACAACAAAAAAAACGTAAGAGAGAGAAAGAAAAAACCAACATACATAAAAAGCCAAAAAAGAAAACTCTTGTCTTTTCTTTTCATTTTTTTTTTAAACTTTATTTTATTGTATATCACAAAATGTTTTCGTTCAATTTGTTTCGGAATAAAATCCATTCTGTGCTGTTGTCGAACTTTCATATAATTGAAAACTAGAACTATTTTGCTTTGCTTTATTTTTAAGAACTTGTGTTAATGGATGTGAGGTTAATGGTTCAATAAGATTTGTATTATGTGTATATATATTCGGATTTGTATCCGATAATGAATAATATGATGATGATGTTATAGTAGTATTTGGTGGTGCTGGTGATGTTGTATCAGTATAATTATTTGTTATAGGTAATGGTTGAGTTAATGAATTCATTGATGGAAGTGTCCATGGATTAGTTGTTGTTTGATATGAACTTGTTGTATTTGGATTTGGTGATGATTGAGAGGAAGATTTGGGACTTGAAGGAGATTTTGTTGTATCCCAACCTGTATTTGTTGGATATGTCGACATAAATGGTGGTGGTGCTTGATGATGAGTATACATATCAAATGGAGGAACAATATGAGAAAAATTTCTTAAATGATCCATATTTCTTTCACGTTTACGCCATTTAGCTCGACGATTTTTAAACCCTAAATAAAATTAAAAAAAGAAAAAAAGAAAGATTTTTATATTCAATGAAAATTAAACATATATGGTTGCTTTTTGTTTTTGCACTTACAAACACGAACTTTTGCTTCAGTTAAATTAGTTATAGCTGCAATATCTTCACGTGTTGCTAAATCCGGATAACGATTAATAGTAAATGTTTGCTCGAGTTGTGTTAATTGGTGACTAGAAAAGTGTGTACGTTGTCGACGTTGTCGAGCATTTGGATTATTTCCATTTGAATTATTACATTTTGATTTTTTACTCGAAGATTTTTTATCATCATCATTACAACCAATATCTTCATCAGCACTTTGTTCACTTAAATGATTTGTTAAATCATTATTTGGTTCATATTTAATAATATTAGGTTTTTGTTGTGGTTGTTCAAGATTAGTTAAAATTGTTGGTGATGCATAAGTTTCATATGTCGGTAAATGTGTTAATAATGTTGATGATGTTGTTGATTGATATTGAGAATGATAAAGATCAACTGATGGATGATGTGTTAGATAATTTGAATTTGTTGTTGGCGAAGAATAAAGTTGATGATGATCAGTCGTTAATTGTTGTTGTTGTTGTTGCTGTTGTTGAGTATCAAACTGTTCAGCTGTAAAATAAGAGGCTGTTGGTGTTTGATACATTCGATTTGCATTATGA